AATTTATAGGATAAATATGAAGATGCAGAAACATGATTTATTGATAGAGCATGAGCTATATATAGCTCTCTTAACTGTATTATTAAAACAAGAGGTAAATAATTAATGGAAGGAAGAAAAGATACATAAAGCACAGTCAGTCTTGACAGGAAGTATTCCTGTCTTGCAGTAATTAAGATTAAATATATTTGGAGCACATTTTTTATATCTTTCTGACAAAAAATATTACTTGCTTACTTTGTATACCCGTAAGAATCACTGTGTGTGGCTGCAGAACTTGTGCAGCCAATGTGAGCAAAACTGGAGAGGAGGGAAATGCTTACAGCTACTCAGTTTGAACACCACTCTACGCTCAGGATAGAATTACCACCTGTGCATATTGACCAGTTACACCTGGTAAACCCTCGGTTTAGTTTCAGATTAGATACAACTAGTTTTTCTAAATCCAGTTCTGCCCATTCACGTGACAAGTACTGCAGAAAAGTACAGGCTTACTTCAGCAGAAAGCAAGAAACAAAGTTAAGTTTTTTATTAGAATCTGAGAATTACCCAGGCAAAGCAAAATTCTCCTAGCAACTGTTTACATATCTCATATACACATTTCTTGAGTTCAAGAGGAAAAGATGATGAGCAGATCAGCCCTAAGAACAGTAACTCAGACAGGGCCTGTGATGTCTCAGGCCATCTACTTTGTTGAATTGATTCTGTTCAAGATACATACGGTCAAATATCCTGTAACAATATCAGGATATATATTTTCTCACTGGACATATAGTAACTTATTTACATCATTTCCAAACTAACAATGTTAGCAAGGTCAAAGTGACCTTACAAATAGTTACTAAATTCCCTGGAACCAGAACAGCTCAACCTCATAAGCGGCTGTCCAACAGTCTACACAGTCTCAACACTTAACTGGAAAACATTCCAGTGCAACCAGTGCCAAAGCTTTCCTGTCTTATTACCAAGTAACAGAATCCAAATGTCTTTCTGAGGCCCAAGGCAAATCATTCCTAAGTTCAGTACCAGCAAAGACTCAGAGTTGGAAAGGTCTATTCTCACCAGCACATGTGCCAAACTCTTCAGTAAAATCAATGCCCTCTTGTCTTGTCTAAAGATAAACAGTGCAATAAACTAAAATTTAAGTTCCACCTTTTGCTTCAGACAAAGATTTTAAAGCAGCACTACACCATCTTTACTGAGCCACAAGTGATAGTGCACAAAAGCCAACAATGCACCGAAGGGAATATTAAACTTGTCACTTCCAGACACCAGTCCTGTGAATCCACAGAATCCCATTGCTATCAGCAGCATCAGACGGTTCCATGGAAAAGGTTTATAGGAACTGCTGCTCTTAAGTTTTAACTACAAGAAACTTGATCAATTATTTCAAAGTGCATCTTACATCCCAAACCAGCAGAATGTGGAATGACAAAACTAAGTGCAAGATGGTGGCAGGAGGGAAACAATTGATTTCAGTGAAATGGAGAATTGGACCTCATGTTTCTCAGTCACTGCTATTCCAGAATAGAACAGATATGACTTCGATTTCAGTTCCTTAGGGAGTGCAAAGCAGAGTTCTACCATCTGATGAACTGCAGCCCGGCAGGGCAGTACCAGGGAAGCACTCCAAACCCTCTTGAGGCTCTCTTCTGATAATCTCCAAATGTAATTTAGAGTGGATCTATTTATTCCTCCTGCCAGGACCACCTATAAGCACCAGTAGTAACTGCTCAAACACTTGTGCCAGAATCAGGCAGAAAAATGTCTGCTCAAAAGGACAGAAATGGGCTCACTCTTGGCTATTTAGTTGGTCTAACTGGGCATCATCAAGCGTTTTTGGTGGTTCCTACCTTAAGAAGTTCTTAATGATCTAAAGCAGGACAGCCTTCAAATTCACCATCTCAGGAACAGTATTGCTCATCAGAAGACTCACAGCTGACAGAGATATTTTTGCCCAGCATTTTCACAGAAAATTTCCACTTTGTATGAGTTCATCACTGGTTTGCTGCCACTGCTGCAAAGCTGGTTGTCTTTTGATAGGATTATGATTTATCCTAATTTCTATGGAGATTTAAGTGTCAAAATTGTGTCTGCCAACAGTTTTGCTGTAGCATCTAACACCGTCTTCTGAAGGGATAAAAAGACTGATGAGGACGTGTCACCCCTTACAGTACCACAGCACTCATGGCAAGTCCTCCCCATGCAGCTGGCCCACCCAACTCAGGATCTCCAGTCTACACACAGGCTAAAAAGCTGAAAGGTGGCCAAGCACCAATGCTTCTGGTAGGTACAACTGCTCTCCAGCAGTTTTTAATAGAAGCTGACGTGTATGAATAATAAATGAATATTCAGACATGAATAATAAATTATTGCTCCATTTATATAGCTTTGTGTATCCCTTCTCCTGAAACAACACCACTCTCGAGCACACAAACACCTCTTAATAACGAGAAGGCACAGATGACACATTTACAGAGATGGCTTTCTGTATGTGTGGGCACACGTTTCCAGGAGAGAGAGTCCTGTAATTACACCTGAGGCGGGACGCGCCTTTGGACCGCACAAACCAAGACGGATTTAGGGGAAATACTTCAGCGATGAGACCCCTTATCCACCATGCGCCACGCCGGAGCACACGCAGCCACATCTCCTCCCCGGGCAGCAGAGATGCGGCACGGCCCGCTAGCCGCGAATCGGAGCTCCCGCGCGGGCGACGAGGGCACAAGGCGCCAGCGCCGCCGCTGAGGGCAAAGAAAATGGCGGCGCCCCGCCCCAGCCTGCGGAGGGAAGCGCGGGCGGAAGTGGCCGCGGAAGTAGCGCTGCGGCGCAGAGCGGAAGTGTTGGCGGGGAGCGGCGCGGGCCGGGTGCAGGTGAGTGGTGCCCGGGGCCGGCCCGCGCACTGGGCTGTAGCGGCTCCGTGGGCCTCGGGACCGCTTCTCGGGCCTGTTTTCGCCTCAGCCGCTCCGCGGCCCCGCCGGACCGATGTCCCGACTGCCCCGAACGCTGGCTGCTGCGGGTCCCGCTCTAACGGCCCTCTTCAGGTGCACTGTTAGGGCCTGGCTCAGCTCTAGAGGCGTGAGGGCACTTCGCCTCCTCAGCTTGGTAATAGCAAGTGTTGTTACAGGCCTGCTTTGAGCCGTGCCGTGTGATGCTTTCACTGGCTGATAACCTAGAGCAGAGAAATTGTGCCTTTCTCTTGACAACTGGGCTGCCTCGGTGAGGCTGAGGTGTGACTGCTTCTCACTTTAGTTGTGTATGTCAGCCAGCGAGGTCTGAGGTGTAAACCAGAAATACATTGACTGGGGGCGCCGGTATGGTAGCAGGATTTCTTCTTTGACCCAAACCTGATTTCTTTTGTAAAAGAATGCAGACTTGGATGTTGAATGCAAGTTAGGCTTGAAAATGGGGGTAAAAACTGAGAACGTCCAATTTAGATTGGACATTAGGAAGAAAATTGTTACAGCAAGGGTGGTGAGGCACTGGCACAGATTGCCCAGAGATGCAATCCCTGTGCCCCATTCCTGGAGACATTCGTGGTCACTGTGGACCGGGCTTTGAGCACCTGATGGAGCTGTAGGTGTCCCTGTTCATTGCAGGGGAGTTGGACTAGATGGACTTCAAGGGTCTCTTCCTACTCAAATGATTCTGTGACAAGAAGATGACAACATTTAGAAATTGGCAGAATTCTTAGATGAATCTTTGTTTTTACATATAGTTGCTGCTTTTCCTTCTTTAACCCTTTCAGGTTCATAGCTGTTGTGATTTAAATTATTCTCATGGGCTGTAGATCTCTACTGCTGCAGAAGGAAAAATGCATTGTAAATTCAGATGATCTAAAGAAAATAAAAATCAATATGATAGTGGCTTATGTCAAGTAAGTGCATTTTTCTGTAGCCTGGTGGCAAATGTCAAAGTTCTTTTGCTGAAGTGTAGTAGCACTTAGCTCTGAACAAAGCTATGCTTGATTCTTGTGTTGCCTTACATCTGCTGAGGGTAGTGGCAGGGATGGATAACATGTTTCTCAGGAGCTTAAATGCTGCTCCAGGAGAACCAGAGGTATTATACCTCTTTGTGTTTTTGTAAAGTAAGTACAGTCTTTTGTGATGCACTGGTGATGCATTCATTTATGGGAGAGCCCCTTACTGCCCTAATTGGCTTTCATCCTCAGGGTGAAGCTTTAGCTGAAATTGGTTAATCCAAGTGTGTCTTGGCAGTTGAAACAAGCTGTTGCTTTGTTGCCCTCTGTGTTTTTACACCATTTTTTAGTTCAACCTCAACCAGTTTCCAGCTGTATTTGTAAAACTATCTGCAGGACTGGCAGGCTTTTTAACGACTGTATCTGTGGGCAGTCCAAAGCATCAGAAAAGTATATTTTGAGATTCTTAGTACAGACAGAGAATATAGCAGCAAATGATTGCGTGTCTGGTGCATGTAGGTGCTCGTGGTCTTTTCACTGCATTTCTTACCCCTTGCAGACCTCTCTAGGACAGCATCCCCCTGGGCTGCGTGTCAGCTAGGTGATGGTCCCTTTAGACAAACAGCTTTTGTTCACTTAGCTTTTAAATAGCAGGCTTCAAGATTGGAGATAACCAAACTGCATAGAGGTGGCATCAGTGCTGCTGATCAGTACTGGTAGTTATTTTTCTTACATGTTTTCTTGGAGTGCTGATGGATAAGAATTGCTCTTTATGATGGCCAGGTAAGTGTTCCTAATATTTTTTAATGGCCTTTGGTGGGTATGGAAACAGGTACTATTAGAAAGAAAACTATTTTCCTTACGTTTTTTTAGCATTCAAGTACAATTTGAACAATTTCTCTCTTGTTGGACTGTAGAAGAATCAAGTCAGAGGCCTTGGTTTTATTAAATTTCTAGACCCAGTTAGAACATGGAAATTGCACATTTAAGTCTTCTATCTATTTGCTACACCAAAGTAGTTGCCACCTCTGTATTACCATCTTATAACAACTTAGTTTTGAATGACTTTCTAACCTCTTAGGCAGCGACCGCAAAATTGTCTTCTTGTGACTAACAATTCTCAAGACAAATGAAAGCAGTTCCAAGCTCCAATTTATTTCTGAGTAATGTAATATGTGGAGACTCAGACAACTGTGTACGTGTGTCCCAGCGTGGAAGAATCCTATCACAGAAAGGTTAGGAGCACACTTTACTTATAACTAGGTGTTTTGTGTCTGCTAATCCTACTGTCATTGTCCTCCTTTTGTCTTTGAAGCCCAGGATGACAGGGTATGAAACGCTTGCCTTTTGATGCATGTGCTGCTGCTTAGGTGTATCAAAGAAGGACTTATCAACAGAAGTATGACCGTAGCAGCCCCTGTTATGGCAGGCAGCTCCATAAATAAACAGCAAGTGCAGGTGCTTATACTTGGAGTACAAAAAAGGGAGCCATCTGCAGGAGCTGCAATTTTTGCTGTGTGTTTTGAGGGGAACTAGGATTCAAAGGAGTGTTTTTGCCTTTTCAGCATCAGTCAGAACTGTGGTGACATCCCAGGTGTTTTTGCTATGTTTTGAGGCAAGATATCAGCATGCTCCAATCCCATCCTGCTCTGAAGTTGCCCCTCACTGGTGAGGATGTTCCACAGCTGTCCTTGATGGTGTTGACAGAGAATTAAGGCATTTTCTCTGTAGGCTGGAGAGAATTTTATTGTTCAGAGGGCATGGGGGAGTTCCCTTGCTGCTATCTGTGCCATATGTATGCTTGGTGTAAATGGAGGTTGTTGTTCTGGGACTCTTGAGCTGACAGTTTTCATTAAGGCCAGTGTGGTGAGCTGTCTGATTTTGAGTAACTAACTCATGGTGCTGGCATCACATGAAGAGGTCTCTTTCTGCAGTAATGAGTGCTGAAGTGAATGGAGTCCCTGGAAACTCAAAGCCTTGGAAAATTCACTTCAAGTTGGTGCACAAAGCTCTTAAATCTGTATGCTTTAAATTCATTTTTTGCACAAAAATTGGGACAGAAAAAAAGATTTTTCAACAGGTCTTGTATTGTCATTGGTTTTGCTTGAAAGCCTTGATTTAAAAAAAAAAAAAAAAAAAAATCACCAAAAAGCTCTAAAACAAAAGAATACAAAACTATGAAACTGCCCAGATCTCTCTTAATTTAGCGTTGATGGAGTGAGCAGCCCCATATCTAACTGAGGCTGATTAAGAATGGGATCACTAAAATTGGTATAAACGTTCCAAGCATTGGTCATAAATACTGCATGAGGGAGGTCATTCTTGAGTCTATCAGCATCCTTCCCAGAAGATATCTTCCCACATTCTTCACAATGAAAGATGATATTAGCACAAGACAAACAAAACATTGGTTTCAGGGCAGGCTGGGTCTTCGTGGGAGTTGGACTTTGTTTTGGTCTGAGATTAAAACAGAGATTCACTTTGAAGCTTTGCATTTTGTCATGTGTACAGCCTGTCCACGTGGTGGATGATCATAGTTTTAAAAATCCACATCCATTTCCCTTTCCAATTTAACAGTAAATCATCGCTGAGTCCTGATGGTCTTTTAAACGTAGAAGAGATCAAAGATGTACAAAATACTTCAAAATACCATGTGTGGGAGGGTGTCAAGTCTGCAGCATTAGTGGTGATCAGTGATTCAATTAGCATGAAATGTATTTGCAAACACTTTACTTGCTGTGTAGAGATGGATTGATGGTCCTGGGCTCTGGGAATGAGAGATGGAGAGTAAATTTGCAAGTATTTTCATGGCCGGTAGACAAGAGGTGGAAGAGTTCTCTTCCTCATACATTCTGATATGCACCAAGATACAGGTGTTTATAAATACTACCCCCGGCTTTCAACCCAGAACTGGTCTGAGCAGTGAATGGAAATGCTTGGAAATAGCATACCAGCATACCTCCTACCAGGATAAAGACAGTGAAACAGAGTGAACTAAAGCTGAAGTACTAAATAGGGAAGAAAAGGTTTTTTTTTTTTTCCTTCTTTTTTTTTTTCAGTTGGGAGGTTAGAAAGAGAAGAGGAGCTATAGTACTGAGTATTCTGTCCACATCTACATGAACAGACCCTTGCATCCTGACTGAGATGTTTACACTGGGATATTGAGAAAACAACAGTGTGGTGGAGGGAAGAGATTTACATGACACTGCATCTCTGACATTCTTGTTTGCTGCTGATTCTGGAGAAAGTTAAATCTACTGCCTTAGCGTAAGTACTTCTGTGGCTTTGCAAATCCAAGGCCTGTGGTTGGCATTCTGACAGCGATACACTTGATGACTTGCTTCTTGCTGGCTGGGTGCTACTCTGCTCCCAGCTGGATGGTAGACCAGGTGTTGTCTTGCCTAGTAGCACATTGTTTAGCAGTGAAGAACCAGTAAACTGTTTGTTTGGGATGCTGGTACAATTAGTTGTGTCCTGGGGTGGTCGTGAGGGGCAGCTGCGGTATATACAGAAAGAGCAGAGCAGGACAAAAGTGAGTTGTTTTCCCTTATTGCTTCTATCCTCTCCCTAGGAAAGCCAGTTCTGTGACCAGTTTTCCTTGTGTTCAGTAGGTTCCATGTGAATGGTAAGTGGGATCAGCCCACAAAAATAAGACGACAAGATGTTCTCCAGACCAAAGCCTGGGGAGTCCGAAGCAGACCTGATACACTTTCAAAACCAGTTCCTGGCAGCCAGAGCTTCACCTGCAGTGAAGATTGTGAAGAAAGCAGACAAGAGGAAGGGAGAGGAAAGGAACTCAGATGCTGAGAGACCCCAGCTACAGGACAGCAAGGATGTGGTCATGCTGGACGGTAATTTCCCTTGTGGGGTTCTTTCATAATTACATGTATTTTTTTCTGTCTCTTTCAGTGTTCCTCTTTGCTTGCCCCCATCACCTCTCTCAACTTGCTTTTTCCCCTGCGTGTCTTCCCTGCAATATTATTTATTCTTAGCCTCATTTGAAAATGCACATGTCCAATATTGCTACCTCTGGTAGAACCACCTTTCCAACACACTGCCTTCAACCCATGTATCAGCTGTCTGCAGTACTCCAACAATCCCACTGCAGGAGGTATTTCCTGTAATTTGCACTCGTTCAATTCCTGAGCGCTTATTTTACCACCTAGCCAGATCCTGCTCTTAGTGTCTCTGAGATTCAACTCTGCTAACAGTTCCAGCCAGCAGGCTATCTTGATAAGCCTCCTTCTTGTGTTTTTCTTTTCCTTCAGCAGCAGTAACTGTAACACTTGTCGTGCACTTAATAGTTTCAAAAACTCAATATTGTTTCTTAAAAGCAACAATTTAAATCTTACAGTGCTTGTTTCCAGGTGAGAAAATATGATCCCTGTTTATGAACAGTGAAAAGGAGGCCTTGACTTGCTCCTGATCATGCTAATCATTCACTTGGAGCTGTCAGTGGGAGTGTGCTTTTCTGTGAGCACAAATTGCAAGGATACAATTTGTTTCTTGTATAGTCTTTTGCCTCTTCCTTTAATATTTGAAGTCAGGCCTGAATATACTTTCTCACTTACGCAGCCCTTTGAAATGGCCTTGATGCCAAAGCATAAATAATAAAGCTCTTAGGCATATTGCTCTCCAATGCTCAGCACAAGTCAGAGATGAAACTTGTATAATTGTCTTACTGCTTCTTTATCTTGTTTATTTCTTATCAGAGCAATAATATGTGCTGTTGAAGACTGTTTGGTCTGGTGCCTATTGTGCAGTAGTTATATATGAGTAACTTGGATCTTTTTTCCTTTTTATATTTTTTCTTTCCCCTCCACAGATTTTCCTGATATTCTCCCTGCTTTAACTCCTGGTCCTCCAAAAAAGTCCAAAATCAAAAGTGCCTGTGTCCACTTTGATGATGAAGATCCAGAGGAAAGACTAGAGAATCATGATCAACACATTACAGCAGTCTTCAGCAAAATCATTGTACGTCTAACTTTTATGTGATGTGTATTTTGAATGCTGTGAATTGAGCGGTGGCGGGGATCTAGAGTTCTGTTTCTGCTTTTATCTCTGCAACATGATGAAGCAGTAGTAGCACAATAAACCAGTGTCCTGTAGCATTCTTGGGGAAAATTCCGAGTATATTTTTGCTGTCAGTTAAACATGGGTTTGAACCTGCTCTCCAGTTCAGACTGCCCACAGGTCATGCTGCTTGCGTGCAGCTGGGTGCTCTAGTATGAATTTGAGTGAAATTCTGATTCTCTAGTGTGGTGTTCTTGTTGCTGTGTGCTGGCCCAAATTTCCTTTTATCTGAGTTTTCTGATGGTCAGTGGAGCTGGCAGCACAGCCTTTTGGAAAATAGCTTCACTTTGGCTCTAAGTAAGCACAAGGTGTTCTGAATCTGATGGCTACATAGAATAATCTTGCAAACTGCTGAGCTGAGAGCTTAGTCTACTCTCAGCAAAATGGTACAAACGTGTCTGGCTATTGTGGTGGTTTTGAGTTGGATTTTTTTGATGCAGGAACGAGACACAAGTGCAGAAGCAGTGACCATGCCAGCGCCCACTGGAGACCCATTTCCAAGGATATTTCACCGTTCTGAGATAAAAAGTGAGGTAAGAGCAGGACCAGCTGTTCTATGCTGTCTTCATTAACTATTAAAACTTTCCCACAACAAAAGGCAATGCATGGTGAGTGATAGGACTCAGAATGCATGACTTAGCATGCTGGAGATGAGAAGCTGGCTCAGCATCTTCATGGCATTGCCTTCTTAGTATAGGAGAAAGTTCTCTTACAGAACTGCCATCAAATAGGTAGTCTATACCCTTGTATAATCAATGAATATTAAGATGTTATAATTATGAAATAAACAAGAGAGTTAGGCAAAGCAGATTATAATAACACAAAGAGAATAGATAGGACACTTAACCCATATCCTGGGCTTGCTTATGAAACTCCAGCAGAGTGGTTCTCCAGAAGAGATCATTTCCCACTGGCAGTCAGCTCTAAAATGGGTGTAGGAGAGGTGCAGCCAGGCTCCACCCCTTCCGGCAGCACAGGTGAATTGCCTTCACCTCTGCTCCCTGGCTGACTCATTGCTCACATCAGGTGTTCAATCAGAGGTTCAGGCTGTGATTCAGCATTTCCCATACAACCCTACAGTTAAATAATACTGGAATCCTTACAGGTTAGGAAAAAAGGCAATCTCCTTCACATAACTTAAGCAGTAAATTTGAAGTAGGTTCAAATCTGCTCTGTTGTTTTTTGCTTTTCTTTGAGGAACAATCTCAGTGAATCTCAGTCTCAGCCCACCAGATTTGCATAAGTCTGTTCTTACTCAAGTTGCCTCTGATTCCTCCTGGAATGACACTTGAATGCAGTTGCATGGATTATCTTTTACAGTGTCTTGCATTTTGAGAAAACGTTTGTTCTAAGGCTGTAAAACTGAAACCTATGGCTGCTGTTGTCAGAATAGTTGCTGTAATAGCAAGAACTGCTAGCTGAGTGGGAATCAAATGCTGGAAATTGAATGTCATTGATAGCTGCAGTTGCTTTGAAAAAAGAGTTTAGTTTGAAGGACAACTCTTTTGAGAGGAAAAAGTAGTACTTTTTAAAGCTACCAATTCTGTTTACCTGATGCAGGAGCGTACGAAGTAGCCATTAAACGTTAAGACTACCTTTTAAGCTTCTTCTCTGGACTGGGGATATGCAAGAGACTTTTTGCTCAGTGTGCTTTGGATTTCCTGTGTATCAAGCTGTTCAGAGCCTTGGTCTTCTATTGCTTAGGCGAGCAGCACAATAATTTAGTAAGGATTACTGTAGCACCACTTGCCCATTTCTTACTGTGTAAATCTTTTCACCCTGGTGCTCTCTAATCACCTTATAAGAAGCCTTTTCCAAGCATGTGGTGAGCACAGTACAGTACTGCTCCATTTATCCTCAGAAATGCAAAGTATTCATCTATGTGGGGTTTCTAAGCAGCAGGAGATCTGGAACTGTTCTGTTTGGTGATATTTTAGGTATACTTTCCTGGCCTCAATTCACTTACGATTAATCATCTTTTCTCTCTAGGTAGCAAAAACATTCATATGTTTTGTCTCTGTTCTAGCATTAAGATATTAAAATAGAATAGCACACATACAGAAAAGGGCAGGTGGCTGCCAGTAGCTTCTCCCATGTCACATCCCAAAGTGTTTTTTGAAAATGTCTTTAGGATCAGATCTATACACTTGTTAATGCCAGGTGTGTGGGGGAGTCTGAAGGAGAGTGGTGACACACAGCTTCCTTGTTTGCAGGTGAAGGTGGGATCTGGAAGAAAAAGCATCTTTGCACAAAAGATGGCAGCAAGAAGAGCTGCTGAAAAGCCAGCAACAGCTCCCTCTGCTGAGTGCACTCAAATAGCATCAGCTTCTCTGGACGTTCTGAATCCTGAGGGATCAGCAGAAGAGGCACCAGAGGCTAACTCCAGCAATGGGGATAGTAAGTGGAGAAGGTTCTGCTTATGCAGCCTACTGTATTTCCATAGCTTTAGTAACTGTTACATTACTGCACCTAGTCTTTAAATCAGAGAAGCACTATTGTCCTTAGTTCAGAAACTGTGTTCACTTGGAAGATCTGTAACATGGCAAGGATTTGAAATGGCCAGAGATCCAAATTAAAATTGTAGAGATATAGTAGCTTTATCACTCTTTTTTGTTGTTGTTTTTACACAGGGTCAAATAGATTTCTTTTTCAAGGCTTTTGCCCTCCTTTTCCTTTGTTTGTCACATGTAAGGTATTTCTTGTTTTGTCAGTAGTTTCTGCAATTTTTGGAGAAGGATTTATCTTGTGCATGACCTCTGATGCAGGTCCTCATTCTTACCTACCTAGAAATTGAAAGCTCAATCTTCCATCACTCACTGCTGTGCTGTGAAACTGTCACATTGCTCCATAAGGAATGCTGTGAGGCAGCACTGATGAGTCAGTACCACCTCCAGCAGTTATTTATCTGACAGCACTGTGACAAGGAAAGATGAAACCAATTCAAGTGGTACTGGCATCTCTAGGTATGCAGGTGTCTTGGGCAGTCTTATCTGGTTAGGACCAACATATGTCTGTCTTTTTCCCTGACATCCTCTTTTTCACATTGGAACGGATGCCAGATGTCGTCTGAAGGTTTTCACCATCTGAGTAAGGTTTCTGTTTATGCTGACCCCTTTCAGAATTGGTAAGAAAACCCTGAATCGTGCTGTGTGTGCACAGATCCACCATTCAGGTCCATTACTGTGTTTGCTATGTACCCTGTTACAATTGTGCACATGTACTACTGTCTGAGAAATCCTTTGAGAAGCAGTAGTCCTCTGGCTCTGACCCTCTTGAAGTCAGAGAACTCTGATAGATGTATTAATACAACTGAGGGATCAGCAAATTATGTGTCCTCTTCTGCAAGATTGCTGGAGAAGAGTTTTTGAGAGAGGATTGCTAGAAGCCACAGAAGAAGAATAGCCATATTTCTTGTAGTGCCTGGTAACAATCAGGTGAGTTGCTGAATGGTAAGAAGTTTAGTGAATCTCTTACCAGACCTTTCTGTCTTCTCATTTCTTTTTGTTCAGTATGCAAGACAACTGCTGTGGAAATGACATCAGACCTTAGTGCTGATTGAACAAGAGTTGATGTTTTCATGGGCTGGTTTAGGGTCACAGGGGTTATCCAGGTTGCTATGTGGAGCATGTGAAAACCCAAACAAAACAACATGTAGAATAAAGCTACAAAGACAAGTCCTTGTACAGTGGGCCAGCAAGAGAGTCTGGCTCAGTTTGACCAGAGGAACATGTTGTCCTACTGCTATGGTTAAATGAAATGAGCCCTTAGATCAGGTGATAAAGGAGACTTGATTTTGTTCAGAGTAGGAGAAATATCTGCCCTTCTGCAGCTTCTGCTATGTTTAACCTTTAAAGTGAATACAGAAAGTTGCTAGAAGAAAGCTTGCCTGTTTTGGGGGTGGATTCTGTATCACACTGGAAACTGGGTTACACAGTACTTTTCATTCTCTTTCTTGCTCAGCAGATACCAGTTCAGGTCTTCTTGGGCAGAGAAGGAAGCTAACTCAAAATAATATCCTGATTTATGAATTATGCGTGAATTTACCTTTTGTTGCTTTGCTTTAAAGAAACAAAATATTTTCTTTTCTGTCCCTCTCCAACTCCTAAAGAAACAAGAAAGAAATGGTGTTTTATTGATACATGTGATGAAAACCTGAAAGCCCAGATCACTTAATTTTGTTTCCAGATAAGCTTCTTTGTACACTTTTTAATTTGGCTTCTAAGGTTTCAGTGCAGGCTTGCTAATGACAAAATCTAAATGAGCTCATAATGCTGTCGAGACTTAGTGACTAACTGCTTTATTTGCTGGATCTTTCAGATAAAGCTGATGACGTTTTCATCTCTCAGCGGCCTTGTATCATAACGGGAGAGGGTCTTGGATGTCAAAAGAGTGAGCAGGAAGCTCAGGCTATTCATGAAGAGAATGTAGAGAAACTACAGTCCATGTCCCAGGAAGAGATCCTGAAGGAGCAGGAAAGGCTTCTGGCTCAGCTAGGTATGTGCTTCTTGGAGTGAATTCTCCTAGAAGTATGAAAGCTTACTGTACACATTGGTGTCTTGAAACTTCAACAAATTTACAGGTCAAAGTTGGGAGCTTAGGATCACTAGTCATTGCATATGGAGATAGCTAAACCTCCATCTCATATCTGTATCATTGTGAATAAGAATCAAGTGTGAAGAAATTTGAGAGGAAGCTTAGTTGAAGACTGTCCCGTCTCGCCTTTGCTGTGGAATAAGATGGTCCATGCACACAGTTACTTTGCACATCTGATACCTGGCTACATGTATGTGTATTGAGGACCTAAAAGATAATTCTCTGAAGCAGATAAGAAGGGTTGCCATAATATGCCAAAAAATGCCAAAAATTATTGCCATTTAACTTCACTAATTATAACAATGGTGTGTGTATGAAAAATACCTTGTTTTTGTGCTTTCATTTTATGACTGATCTATGACCTTTGCTCCTTGTCTGTACTGCTCAATCACTAACAGATTGTAGTGAGGCAACCACTTGGAGTTTAAAAAGGGAAGGATCTATACTAATTTTTTTTTCAATTAGTAGACCTCAGCTTATGTGCTGAACATAAACAGTTAAATGCCTCATTTGAAAACAAGTGACAGTTGGCAGAGAAGAAGGGGTTTGTGGAATGGGATTCAAAAGACTAAAATGCAAATGGCAGGACGTAGATGTATCTGTAGATGTTTTAGGTATTTTGAGGCTGACACTTATCTGTCCGTCTCTTTGTCAATATTTGCAGATCCCAGTTTAGTTGCTTTCTTAAAGTCACGACGCAGTGGTAATGTAGGCCAGAAAAACGAAATAAAAATGGAACAGAACAGACCGGAGGAGTTTGTGGAATCTCTGACTGTGCCTCAGTGTGGTGTACGAACGTCACTTTCCATGCAGGAGTCAGGTCTGGAAGAATCTGTAAGGAGGGATGAAAATATGAAAATGGAAATCACAGGTAAGACACGCAGTACATATCGTTAATGTTCTGAACATAAATGTAAGGCTTTTTATGGTGTTTGCATCGACCCAGATTAGAGTTCTGTGGAATTGTTAATTTGTTAATTATCCGAATCAGAATTTGATCATGATATTTAAAGATTTTTGAGTTCGAGGAAGAGCATTCTTGTTTCTAGCTGAGCTCTAGATTAGAAGGATGATGCACTACATAATGGAGGTGGTGTGCCATGCAGTGAGAGGTCTTGCTTTATTTTGGAAACTTGTTCTGAGATCACTTGAAGGAAAATGTGTTTTAAAAGTAAGCATCATTGCTGTTCTCATTTAGTCATGTAAGCAGAGAAATAGAAGAGCGTGATATTCAAGCAGCACTTGATTCTCACTAATTTCTTTTCACTGGGACAGTTGGTGGGTCGATCTCCCTGAAAAGACTGGCTGTTGTGCTCACAGGATAGCATGGAGATGACAGCCCATTAAATAGCTCACATGGCATGTTTGTCTTAATGTGAGACTGCTCCTGGTGGCTCCACTGTGTGGCTTGTATTGCAGAGCCCATGCAAACATTTCCAAAGGTTATGGTTCTTTCTTTTGTGTGCTGTGGATGGAAGGAAATGCTGACTTATTGAGAGTTCTGCTCTTTCAGAAGAATCGTACAGAGCTGTTGCGTTTTACAATGATGTTCTAATACTCAATTTTACCTTGTATATTTTGATGATAGAAGAGTGGTAATGTATCTAAAAGAATGAAGATGTGGAAGTTTGTAGATGGGAATCTTTATCTTTGCCATCCAACTGGCAAGAGACCTGAGTGTGTCTGTATGCTCACTTTGATATCAGAATTGCATTCACTGAGGTTTGCATGCCTGTGAATCTCCACGTTATTCACATCTCTTATTTTCCTTACTAAATGACACAAGGAGTCTTTGCTGAGTTACTAGAGGAGGATTTTACCTCTTGCTTAATTAACTACTTGTAAGTATTGACTTACTTCAGTTGTGCTAAGGAAGCCTGCACTGATGCTGTGTTGGATCTGCAGTTTCTATGCTTATGTGAGAAGGAAGCTGCTTTCTTGCAGGCAGCTACAACAGTCTTTGTGTTCTTCATGACAGACCAAAGAAGCATTTACCCCTCATGCTTCTCTTATTGTTGCTTTCTTCTTTGGGTTTTTTTTCTGGGAGTTGGACTCGATGATCTCTGGAGGTCCCTTCCAACCCCTACAATTCTGTGATTCTGTGATTCTTTCCTTAGTGGTAATATTAGGCTCCCACTCACATCTTCCAGAACACTTTTGTTTGTAGTGTGTGTGAAAGAAGCATCTCTCCTTTATTAGCATGCTTTTCTTCCAATTTCATGTTAATCTTTGGCTGTCTTCATCTCTTGATTCTCTCTTCTGATGCATTCTTTGTCTCCCACTGCAACATGCAGTCTGATTAAAGAGGTCTCCAAATCTCTCTTGGATTTTAGCTTGGTGTTTGCAAGAGATAACAAGTGTTTACCATTTTCCTGATGGGAGGGATGAATGTGTGTGTGTGTGTGTGTGTGTGTGTATACATGTGCAGAAGGAAAGATATTAGCCTCATAATCAAGAAAACACTTTTGCTGTTTCTCCCCAGGTCTTTGTTTTTCATGAACTCACATTAATCAAAATAACAGGCTTTAATGCCTTTCCCAGAACAGATGAGTGCAAAAGTAGCATCAGATTAAGTGACTTTCTCTTATTCATAGGAGCAGTAGGAGTGGGCTGTTTAGCTGTAGAGACTGAACAAAATTGTAGTAGTGCTCTTCGAAAAGCTCAGCGTACAAAATGTGTGCTGATAACATCTTTTACTGCTACAAGACTGCAGACTGAAGAAGAAATGGAGTTTTCCTGGAATATTTGAAATAACAAAGAAAGAGTGATTTAGAATGCTGTTAGGAAACCAAGGGAAGCCTTTCTAGCCCATCTTGACCCACAGGAGACATAAAACATTATTTGACTTTCTAAAACGGTGTTGGGATTTTGCATTTGCTGGTGCTCAGAATTTAACTCATCTGAATAATCTGGCAGAAACAGTCATTCGGAATTTCTTAAGGATAAGGATGATGACACAAAAGAACAGGATTGCTCAAAAGTCAAACTTGCCTCTCTAATGAGATAAAAGGCAACTGTCTCTAATAAAGAAGACAGTAAAGCCTTTATATAGCAACTTCTAATCTTATCAAATAGAAAAACAAACCCTGGCACCAAGACAAAAGGGAAAGCAAACAAGAAAAGGAAGCAGTTGGTTGGTAGTCTTTAATATAATGCAGCTCTGAAAAGTTCAGTACAGATTTTGCGTTCAAACTGCCAGCTTCTGTTTCTGTAAATGGTTTTCTCAGTAACTGAGCAATCTGCTGATGCCTTGGAATGTATGTCTGTCTTTCCTTGTTGACAAGATCAGAATGCTACAGGCTGATGATGATATGCGTAATCCTATTCATAGAATGATTATCCAGTTTAGTGATTAATGGAGAAGGAAAAAACAATTTATTGAATTACAAATGTCAATTGATCTCTTTTTTTTTTTCCTGTTGATTTTTATTTCCTCTGGTTTTGCATCAACCACCTACAGACATTCCACTTTCTTACATATCAGATGCTTTTTTCCATCAATTAAAATGTGTGTTGAGCCTTTGGCTGAAATTCTGTGCAACAGCTTTCTGGCTGGGGAAGATAACTGTGTACTTGGTTCCTTGCCTGACTCACTGCCACATTGATCATAAGGGTGAAGCTTCATCCTAGAAATGATGGGTGCCCTTTCTGAAAGTTTATCTGCTAATTGGAGGAAGGTAGAAAGTTGGGTTTCAGGCCAGTTATCAGCAGGGAAATCTCTGATGAAAGAAGAGCATCTCAGTGGGACACTGTTCTTCACAAGAGAAAACAAGAGCATTAGGATTAACAGCTGCAGTGCAAATGAATTCTGGTCTTGTTGTGCTCCAGTAGGAGTGATGATCGTGCTTTCCATGCCCTCAGTCCGCCTGCTTCTGTCAGTGAGTGATTTCTCTTGAAATAGCAAGGACTTGTTAATTCTCTTTTCTCACACCAGCCTGGGACAGTTTTGTACTAGCAAGGCATTAGCTGTGTTAGCATTTAGATAATTTCCACTTAAATCTCTCCTGCCCATTCACTTGTCATATTTTTTCCACGTGCTGATCATAGGGCAATTCTTGTGTTGTCAAGCAGAAATGTATTGTTTCTCAAATTGTTCTGGTCAAAACTCTTTGACAAGTTAAATCAGTCATTTCTTCCTGTAGTGCCTTCACCTCTGAGATCCTTGTTCAACTGCCCCATTTTCCCACTGGGCTGTTTCTCAGTTTCAGTCAATTTTTCTCTTATTATTATTATTTTTCTTTTTCTTGCAAATTGATTTCCTCAGTTCTTTAGAGGGAGGCACAGAATAGAGAGTAGTAGTGGAAGTGCCATGGAAGTATGAGTGGTAGCAGTGGTGTGCTCCCTTCAGTGTACCTAGGCTGACACTATCCTGGCTTCTTTAAAACCGTATTTCGTGCCAGGCCAGTAATTCATTTAGCCTTCTTTGCATTGCTACTGTTCTTGACTCCCCTAATGCTCCCCTTCTTGAATGATACTCATTTAATTGGCAAAAGTAGAGCTGATATTTTCTGCCCTTGTTCTGAACATTTGGCCTTATTTGTGTCCCAACTTTCATTCAGTTTCACCCTAATTAGCGTTGTCTGTGGATTTTGTTACAGTGCTGCATAATTTCTCTTCTAGCTCTCTTGAAGGATGAAAACAGCTGGCTTTGATGTTTATGCATCAGTCAGCAGTTCATTAGAAAATTGTTTTCTCCTTATTTTACATGGATCCTTTATTTGATGTAGACTTTAAGCCAAGTGGGTTTTCAAGTAGGAAATAGGATTTTCTTCATCTTTGCTTTGGAAGGTAAGGCTGTCATTTTCTCTCCTGAAGATGATGATCTGCCTGTGAAGCCAAGGAAAGAATGGATTCACATGGACAACGTGGAGTTTGAGAAGCTGGAGTGGATGAAAGATTTGCCTTCACCCCGGCAGAAGAAAACTAAAAAGGTTTAAAAGCAGAAACTGATTTTTTTTTTTTTCTTGTTTGTGAAGTGTCTGGTTCATGTTTCTCACCAGTGACAATTTTGAAGTTTTCTTAAATAATCCCCTGGTTTCTCAATCTGAGAGATTTTGTAAGGCTGAGGGGAGAACCAGTGTTCTTCACAGGGTGGGATTCTATATGATCACTTTAGCCTATAGTGTCAAAGAGAGCTACGAAGTGAGAGTCTGATAACTCTCAGATGACCTCTGGTGAAACAGGTCTGAAAGCTAAGAAAAGAAAAAAAAAAAGTGGAATAAACTTTTTTTTTTTTAAAGAATCTGAGATCTGATCTGGGGAGTTTGTCAAATCAGCTGTTAGGTGACACCTCAGAAATGGAATTTTATGTGGTGAATAGAGTAAGGCAATAAAAATAATCTTTCTCTCCCTCCACCATTTTCTTTATGCTAGGGAATGCAAGCTCGATTCAGTTTAAAAGGAGACTTGATTCCTGCAGATGCTGATTTGCCTACTCATCTAGGTCTGCATCACCATGGAGAAGAGGCAGAGGTAGGTGTAATGAAGCAGAAAGGAAAGAGCACACCCATTTCCATTTTCTGTGTTTATTTTGTCAGATTCCTTTTGTGTCAAGGTGTTTTAGTGACAAAAACCTCAAGAAAGTGTAGATGGGTGGTTTCCTTTGGAAACAAGCTCCTGAAGAGAAGTTTAGTTGCTATGCACTAGCTTGCTTTCTTTGTTTTCAGACAACTGTTAATGCTTTTCTTCTTCAATGCCATTAAGGATCTGTGGTGATGGAAAACGAGTACACGTCCTTTTTTAAGTACAGTTTTCTCCCATTACGTCATTTATTGCAATCTCTTCTGCAATTGATGTGAAACAGCAAACAAAACTGTGTTGCAATTTATCTCCTGTTATGCACTATTTACAGCAAATCTTATTTTAAGGGGTCTGTTTTTATCTATACTCGGTTGTTTGTTGTTTTTTTTTTTTCTTTTCCTCCCCCATTTAGAGGGCTGGTTATTCTCTCCAAGAGCTCTTTCATTTGTCTCGCAGCCAACTTATTCAGCAGAGGACACTGGCCCTACAGGTCTTGGGTCGTATTGTTCAAAAGGTAAGTCACTTCCATAGAACTTCACCCCATAGCTGACATTTCCACTGCATCAGGGTCCAGATTCTCTGATGCTAGTTGTTTGTCTTCTGTTTTAATGCAGGTGAACAAAATCACTGACAGAGTGTTTCTTTTTACACCAAAGATCTCACTGCTAAGAAAAGTTACAATGTTGGTACATAGCAAATTGAATTTCAGGATTCTCTGCAGGAAGAAGCTTTGCAGCTTTCAAGTGTTGCTCAGCAGCAGTGCTGCAATTTATGTTCCTCTGTTTCTTTGGACTGAGTTATTTTTACGGTGTTACTTCTGTGGCAAAAACTCCCATTTGCAGTGACCCTTTAGTTCTTGTTGCCTGAGCCAGCTATGTGATGTGCTTGTTCTGTAGGTGGTGAAAATGAGCCAGCCTAATCTTACAGAGGAGGGCATAAAGCAGTATGAATATTTAGCTCCACGCACTTGCCCACCCAACTCTTGGGGGAAGTGCTAACCTTCCCTTTAACAGCAGTGGAGGCTGAGATGAAGTAGCAGCATGATTTTGAGAAGAAAGATGGGGCAGAACAGGATGAAGTCATAATAAGTGTCCAGACAAAAGAAAGAAAGCTTTTCTGCATTAAAGAACTGGAGTTGTATTTTCTCTTCTCCTCATTCTCTAGAGAGGCACAAAACAACTTTCCTAAAACCTGTTCTGTGGGAAACAGCTGACTTGCCTAAAGCAGCAGCAGCATCATTATGGTATAGTTGTAGACTACTCAAAGATGGTGTCCCACTATTGATCTAAGCAGAAAAGAACTTCTTGTCCTCCAAACTAAATAGGAAATATACCACAAAGTTACAGAAACGCCATAGGAATGTGCAATTATTCTCTTAGAACTTTTTTTCTTGGCCTGGCCCTTGAGTCATAGAATTTTAAGTGGGAAGAGGTGTTTGTAGCATGCAAAGCGGGGTGTACATCCTGGCAGATTCCAGTCTGCACATTGTAATTGCACTTGGGGTATGTGACCCTTGACTTATGCAGAGAGAGAGTATGTAATGCAGAAACAGGAGCCGTTCATCAATAGGCAGTGTTCCCTAGAAGTCAAAATGTTCTCTCATTTATGTTACGAGCTCTTACCAATTTCTAACCTACTGTATGGGGCAGCGCTGGAATTTGGCAAATCTGCATCTGTTTGTGATGTCCTGAAGTTAGGTAGCATGAAAGACTCCTAACTAATGTAAACAGCAGGTGGTCAAAATGTGACTCAGGTGCCTAATTTTATGGTTTTTAAGTGGATTTTCCTGCATGGCTGGCACTGTAGGTCTTTGAGGATCCTTGAAGTCTTAAGCATTTCTTCTGTCCTTTTATATCACTACTTTGGACTGAATGATACAAAATTTTTCTGTCCCTGTAGATGGTTCTAAAGTTTCCTTGGAGAATACCAAGTAGAGCAGTTGGTTGTGCTGACTGCACAGTGTAGCTGCTTTACAGTAGAACTGGGAAGAGACAAACATGCAGATGTTAAATTGTACACAGTTGAGGTGAGACAGCTTTAACATTATCTCTGTATGGTATGTATACATTTCAGGCCAGGGCTGGAGAATTTGCTTCCTCCTTGAAGGGCAGTGTTCTGCGTCTGCTTCTCGATGCTGGATTTCTCTTCTTGCTACGCTTCTCTCTGGATGATGCTGTGGATAATGTCATGGCAGCATCTGTTGGTGCTCTCCGAGCTCTGCTGGTGTCATCTGATGATGAGGTGAGAAAATCATTACATCCCTCGCTTTGGTTTCATTCTGAATCATCTGAATAATTTATAGAATCAGAATGAAAAGAGAGGTAAGTAACTTCTAAAAAAGCCTTGCTGGATGGGTTAGCTTAATGGTCAGTAGAATGCTATTTCTGTGCTTTGGGACAAAGGACTGTACCACTCGAATTCAAGAGATTCAGTCCTCTTTTCTCCTATTTAAATGAGTTCTACCTATGATTAAATTCAGTGCATACAGTTGTGCTAGTTCTCTTCCTTCTTGACACCTTTAAAATCTAGAGCATGTTACTTCTAGCGTATGTGTACGATTTAGACGTTTTATTTTTAATACAACCTCTTCTGTTGTTGTTCTGTTTTGCTATGTAGTTTTCCTGCTTCTGAACAAATTAGTGACTAAGTATTATCCCTGCTTTGCTGCTTTGTCAGGCCTCACAGTAGTACTAGCCTCTCTCCATCACTGTCCATCATTTGTTGTTCTCACATACTTTTCTTTCATTACTGTAAACCTATTTTTCCATTCTTACGGGTTTTTCTCCTTGATGCTTTTTCTCTTGTTAGAAAGCTGAAACTTCTTTTGGATGTTCAGAGATACTGGACCCTGAACAGCAAGGTTAAAGAATCTTCCTGGTTGAAAAGAAGCAGGCCATTATGGGCAAAGCAGACTGTGGCCTGTGTTTCAGGTTCCTTTTATGTTAAGCTGCAAAGAGAATGGTGCTAGAAAAGAATGGTTAGATCTCTAGAAGCCTATCATGCAGACCCAGAAATGGGGATGGAGCTAATAAATGTCAAATTCCAGTTTAACTTCTAGAGCCCTTGGTGGTTATTTATTTTTATTTTAAACATTTTTCAATTAAGCTGCGTTTCTGTTCCTTGTCGAGTGAATTTAATTCGTGTCACAGTAATTGCTTTTCATGATTTCCCAAGTGTCTGTGGGTCATAGATTAAAGTCACTTCTCTGAAAAATCATTTCATCTACTTGTAAATGTTTAGAGTATCCTTTATTGTGTTCCTATTTTCCTGAGTTAGGTGGAAATCTGTAAGGCATCCTGTAATTCTCTCTTTTTTTTTTCGTCTTATGTGATCTCTTTGTGAGAGATTTTTGTGTGCTTTTACTCTCCTCATAGAAATATCTTGATTGCACTTTCTCATGGTACCAAGGGATGGCTGCATTCCCATTTGTCCCCAACAATGAGGAAGAAGAAGAGGAAGAAGAAGAAGAATTAACTGGAACAGAGAAGTCTCAGAATAAAAAACAAAAGGATGAGAACAAGCCAGATGCAGACGTAGCCCGTTACGACGTTGTAAAGGTGAGCACACAGCTCGGCCTGAAATCTTTCTGGAAAAATAGACTGTGCACAGGGCTGTGTGCACTTGTGAAATGTGTACTCTTCTGTGTGTGTTAGTAGTGTTATGAACAAAAATTAGAACATTTCCTTGGCTGTTGGATGTCGTGTTTCTGTCATACGTTATCAGTAGTGTGAATTTATTAACCTCTAAAAATGTTGAGACTTGACCAGTGTGGTTTCATCATTAACTATCTCTAGCTTCCTGTAGGGAAATTGGCAACGAGCACGCTGATGACCATGATTAGTTGAAAGATTGAATACAGACATGATTTTCATGTTCTCTTACTTGAGCTTGAAGTGAAACAGTTCCAGACACTACTAAAGTTAAGCAAGAGAATTACAGCTGCATAGTTCTGAATTAGAATGGTACAATGCCATTCTCTTTGCATTTGATGCGACGACTACTTAGCATTTCCCTAATATCACTCTTCATGTTGCATCTCTCAGAATGAGTGTCACATATGCCAGGGATGCGAAGTTTAGCTTACATATGAGATCTAACAACAGTAATCTTTGCCATCTCAAACTCCACCCTGCTGAAGCTGCTGTTGTTAAGGTCCGTGGTCGCATCTCTTAGTCTGTGTATTCGAATGGCAAATGGTTATAAACTTCACCGGGCAAATGAATTACTGTACTTAGATATCTGGTTTCAGTTAGTGACTTTGTGAGTTCAGATTTGTTCTAATAGGCTGTGCTGCTTAAGAGGCTTAACAAAAGAGATGTAGATAAGAGATGAGGTCAGTTTGTCACTCTGGAAACAGTTACGTGGTTTGAACTCAGAAGAGATTTGACATAAAATTGTGCGTTGTTCCAGCTGTTGTGAAATAAATTCCATTTCACACCTGCTAATTGGTTGTTACATCCCAGCTCCACATATTGGAAAAATAATATTTATACAGGCAGCTGAATCCAGTCAAACATAGAGCTTCAGACTTGCCTGGCTGCAACTTTTAAAAGTATCAGTCCTATGAACTCAAGTGTTGCACCTTTTCCCTAAACTAGAAGTGCATAACACTATCACTAAGATTGATTCTTAGCATAGTCACTGATCTTCTGCTCTGTGAGCAATACAGAATCACATAATCCATCTGCGTCTGTCTTTTCTTACTGCAGAATAGAAACTGGTATCTGTTCTCCACTTCTGTTAGCTTTCTCCAATGTGACAAGCACTGTCAGGACTGAAGAAAGAGTACTGTGTTAGATGAAGGTGGTGGCTAGCCAAAATGAATCAAAAGCCATGAGAACCCTTTTCAGCCACATTACATTTTAATAGTCGTTTGTAGAGAGGTATTCCCTGTTACTTGCAGTTTCAAACTCTGGAGAACACAACTATCCAAAAAGCTCACTGGTGGTCTGATACAGAACAAAAGTTCAGATGTTCCTGCTCTGTTGGGCCAACTTTTGATTGTTTGCTAGCATACTAGCTTGCAAATCTACAGAAGCTTCTCTCTTCATTTCCCCAGTGGTAATTTTAATACTTTCTATCTGCAAAAGATTTACATGCATCTGCTTTTCCCTTCCTGCAACTGCTTCCCAGAGAGCAGTTAATAAGAGCATAATGAATATTTTTTTCCTTCCAGGGACTTCTGAAGACACGGATTCAGCATCGGCTGAGGTATATCCTTGAGGTGGTACGACCTGTTCCAACGGTTGTCCTGGATATCCTGCACATCCTGACTCGCATAGCAAGGCACTCCTCTGAAGCATGCATCCAGGTAAATCTGTTATTGTACAGGAGGAATGGTAGGAAAAGATTTGAAAAAGGGAAGAAGGAAGCAGATGATGTTATGACAAGGAGATAAGACAAACTTGGGTGTTCTTTATGTATGGCTACTGGAATTGCATGCTTTCAGCTATTTGTGGTGCCTGCTATTTCTCTGCAGCTGCTTGACTGTCCTCGGTTGATTGAAACCATTGTCAGGGAATTTCTCCCTACTCGATGGGATCCTCATGTGGCTGAACCAGGATGTTTACTCACCAGTCTCCATGGAGTTGCTTGCGCTGCTGCTATGAAGTTCATCAGAGTATTGGCATCTGGAGGCAGAAATGCAACAGCCAGGCTGGTGAGTGATTATCAAAGAGCTTTTCGGTTATCAAATACCATTGTTTTCCGTGCCTTGCTTCCTCACTAATGATGGATAATTAACTGGGGGTGACTAAGCTGAAGAATGTGATTCAGACCTGACCAGTACATATGAAACTGGGAGATACGTGGTTAGGGTTCCTGTTTCAGTCTCACTCTATGGTGAAGGGAAGCAATAGGGCCACTTAAATGAGTAAGAGATTGAAGTATCTGACTTACAGCTTTCAATCTTTCCCTGTAATTGCTTAGGCTTGGCAATAGAAAGCTGGTGATGATTTGTATTTTGTCGAGGGAGTAAAGAAAGCAGCAAAATTTACCCTTTTTTACTACTAATAAGAAGCAGTGAGCACAAGTTGAAATAAAAGACAGTTAAAAATAGAAATTTTCTTCTGAAGTGAAAGTAGTGAAACTAGCAAAAACAGGTTGCCCAAGGAGGCTGCAGACTTCCCATCTGTGAAGACATCCAAAACTCTGCTGGACCTAGCTCTGAGCAAGCTGCTCTAAACAGAGAGAACTGCAGTCTCCAGAGGTCCTTTCTGACCAGCAACTTTTCTGTGACTCTGTGAGTCTCCAATTAGACTTGCTGGTGGTTCAAGCACAGTGTAGCTCTTAACTACAGTCTCTGTGAGGTTACCTCTATAGGTATTTTCTGCCATTTGCAGGGAAACCTCAGAAATCTCTTTTAAGACAGAGTGTGAGCTGAAATAAAGAAGCCAAAATAATCCTTGTGAAGAAGATGCATGTATGTGTTCTGAAGGAATTGTTGACAGTATTACAATGTGTCTTCTGGTGTATAGCACTGGGGAAGCCATTTCAGTCTTTTCTTTCCTTTTTTTTTTTTTTTTTGAGGTTGGAAGGTCTGTGTAGTGCAGCTATGAAAAATCACGCAGCACAGTTCAGTGATACTGGCCAGCAGCAGATGCTTAGAGTGCACATCAGCATGTATTGCTCTGTACTCTCCTGTGGCTCCGATGATAGGCAGCTTAGGACTTCATAAACCAGAGATCTTATTTGTGTCTTTGTGTTTTACAGCCCTAGTTGAACTTTCCTGCCATGAATTTACCTGAACAGCTCAGGTTATTCCAGCCAGTACTTCCAGCCCCTCTTATTTACGTCTGGACAGGTTTTCCATTTCAGAGCTAATTGTATTCATTCATACAGGGCAACACAGGTGCTATAAATACACAGCATCAACTCAGAGCAGCACCCATTACAGTGCAGTGTGCATCTCTGAGGTGTTTTGGTTCAGTATTCTTAATAGCATCTAATAAATAGCTATGCAGGAAATTGCTAGCATCAGCAGGAGAATACTGAATTGTGCTATAAAATACATAGAAAAACGTGCTGATAATAATGGGATATTTAAAGTTGTAAGTGGTGGTAGGAACATAACAGAAAATCTCTACATTTCATTCTCTTTTGGATTTTGAGTAGTCCAGGTGTTCCAGGCATGCAAATGTTGTTTACAAGGTTGCTACCACTCAGGGCTTGGTTGTGTTTTACTCTCATATGACTAGTTGCAGGCACTTGAACATGGGAGTGGAAGATACTAAAAAACAAAATAGCGTAGGAATTTTACCTAAAAACAGAATTCTTCTATCTTCCTCCTCAGGAAGTAAATTTAACTTTGCCCTCTGTTCTGTAGGAGGGGTGTCAGAATTCATAGTTTGATTCATCAGCTCCTTTGCTTCTTGTGGGTGTGCAGTGATTTCCCAACAAGATGGCTCTAAAGCATTTGAATTTTAAATTATCTGTAATGTGTCCTTGTGTTGTGAGAAAGACATTGTCGGTGCATTTGTTTAGACAGAGCACACATAAGCTTTTGTATATGTGGGAGAGGGAAGGAGAAGCTCTTTTCTATGGTTAAGCAAAAATATCCAGTTGTTGGGGAGGATAAAAGTTATTTTTAGAGAACTGCAAATGAGTCATGTCAGGCTTAATTAAATACTAAAATAACCTCAGAACATTTTCAAAGCACTAGAATTCTATATATTTTTTAAAAAAACTAATAGGCAGGAGGTACCTTTTTGTAAAACAAACAGAATTATAGAAAGATTCAGATTGTAAGACCTCTGAAAGTCATCTAATGTAACCTCTTAAGAGGAATGCAAGAAGCCATTCAGTGATCTTTGTGTACAGTGTTCTTGATAAGATAAATCTCAGTGTAATCTTGACTACTGGAGTTCGACTTATGACTAGTTAAGGAAGAGTAATTTTTGTTTAAAAGTCAATTAATGCTGCAGAGAGTCCCTAAAACAAGAGTGTGTGGGGGTCAGGCAAACCTCTGTGGTTTAAGTGTACTCTTTGTGTGGAACGGATTAGATAACATCCAGGCATCTCTTTCAGGGATACATCCATCTTAATTACCATTAATGATTTATTGACTCTTTGTAGTAAGCTCCCTAAGATTACACAAGATGAAAACAGTGTTAGGGGAATAAAGTGCAGTAAAATCTGCAGCTTTTTTGGTGTGTCAGATTAGTGACTGTTGTAAACGCATGTGAGTGAAGTCTCTTATTCTTTGGTTGTGTTTTGGTCTTTGTTTACTTGTTTTCATTTGTTTTACAGCTTAACAAGTTTGAAATGAAGAGCCGGTTAATTCGATTTACAGCTGAAGATCCGCAGGATCTGCTTCTGCCAAGGGAAGAGGCCATCAGACTGAACACTGAAGCCTTCCGGCTGTGGGCAGTGGCTGCTGGTTATGGTCAGGCCTGTGACCTCTACCGGTACAGTCCAAAGCTGGAGAAGTGGAAATAGTGGGGGTGGAGAGCACAACGGAGGCATCACGTTCCAGAGGGTTGAATGTGGGATCTCTAGAATCAGTTGCTACTCCCTTCAGGGAGTCTTACCTCCCTTCCTCTGGCCTCCTGCAGTAAAATTCGGTTTCTGAAGGTGTTAGTGTTCTTTTCTTTTTCTGGCTCTCTTTTATTTCTTGTGCTTAATCACTTTTAATTTATTCTTTCTTCTCTGTCCTGTGGGATAAACCTAAACTTTTTAGGACTACATCTTTTTTTCCCCTCAGAGGCTTTTGAATCAGCTGTGCTTGTGTGACCTCAAGACATGCTGAGTGCAGCAGACCTAGGGATTGAATATGATGTGCTAAAAGTAGTCTGGGCAGCAGTCCCCAGCATGTATGAAAATTGAGGCAGACTAGTGCAGACAAACTCTGCATCAACTCTCAGTTCAGTACAAAATTCAAGTTCTTGTACTTGAACTTCAAGTTCTGCTCTGGAATAAACCTGACCTTCCTTAAGCATTGAGTCTTCCTTGAAAGCATGGAGATAGCTGTGGAGTTCCCCTGAAGAGGAGTGGAGGAGAGGCCAGTAGTAATTGTTGGAAGGGAAGTTCTGTTTGCAATAGCATTTTGAGTACAACAGTGTATTGGTTAATAAAGTAAAATGCAGTATGTCGTTTCTTAGCATTGTAGATAATACTGAGGAAAGAGAAGCAGCAGCAGATTGCTTGAATTTGCATTATTACAACTGTGTATACTCTGAGCATTTGAAAACTAGAGGAAAAAAAGAAAATATTTGGTGTTTTTTCAAGAGTTGGTTGGAATGTTTGGAAGCAGAGTAGATTCAGTAGAGTTGGAAATGATAGAATTCTTTCTCATTTTTTACATGTCTGTTGATTATTCTGTTTTGGAGATGTTGGTGTTTCTCATCTCGTCTTAGCAACGTGCAACAAGAAGGTGTTCGGGGGAAAAAAGGGCCAGGTCCTCCCAGTGATAGCAGGAAAAGTACAAGGAGCAGCATCTACAAATTGAGATGAAGGAGATTTCTCTTAAGTAAAAGGAAAAACTTCTACTGTGGAGATAGTCACACTGGAACAGATTTTTCAGAAAGACTGGACTCTGCATCCTTGAAGATATTCAAAACCTAACTAGACATGTTCCTAGGCAAACCTGCTTTAGCCGACTAAGCTTGAACAAGGTGTTGGACTACTTCCAACCTCATATATTTTGTATTTTAAACCGTAGGGATCTCTATCCTGTGCTGGTGAGGATACTGCAGTCCCTGCCTGAGTTGCTCAGCACTAGCCATGAGAAGAATCCCATGTTTGAGTTATCTGTCCAGAGAGCTGCAGCAGTGGTTACTCTGCTGGTAAATGTGACACAAACTGCAGGATGCACGGTGGAGCTGCAGGCCAAACTGAGCAGGTGGGCCCTCTGTCACCTGTTTCATGCATCTGAGCAGTTGTCTTGTATTCTCTTCAGTTGGGAGACCTGGCTTTACCCTTCTCTATTCGTTCATTTCATATGGCGTGCTGTCCCACATGTGAGTCCCTGCATGGTGGGATGTGTTGCTTTTGACATGAGGACAGAAGAGGTAGATTGAAGACTGGTAGATAGCTATATGCCTGCTAGCCTGATAAGGGGAAGGGGTAAAAATCTGCATTTAGCAAAGCATTCCTGCCAGAATGAACTAGAGAACTCCTTTGACTTTTCCTTCAGGGAAAAAGGAAATGACTTCTCTGAGGTCTGGAGGAAAGAAGCTGTGGAGAACAAGATGGTAGAGGATTAAGAAAAGTGGGCTGTGGGTTTGCTAGTTTTATTGGATAAAGGGGTAAATTCAGTAAAACCAAAGCTTAGCTAAGGAGAGAGTAATGCAGGTGAAGAAACTTTAGCTTTCACGTATAGTTTCTCATTTGACTTTTCTGTCTAAAATGATTTGTTCTGGTCTGTGGGAATGTGCGAAGTTGTTTTTCCCCTAGTAGCTGTTATTAGTCATCCATCTTCCATGCTACATGTAACTAGAAATCTTGCTATTAAAATGGTATTTTAGAGAGAATTGTTTTCAAGGCATCCTCACTATTCAGTGTCATTCTTCCGCTGTGTTTCAATAATAGCTGTGAAGACAGTGAACAGATTCCACCTCCTCCAGTAACATGGAATCAAGTGTCAGGCTTACAGCCCTTTCTGGAGACCAGTATGAAAAAATTCCTGCAGGTGATATCTTGGACAGAAACTTGGCAAATTCTTCAGCCTCTGACCACAACTTATATGATCTACCTGGGAGTTTATTACAGTGCTTGCAGTCAACAGGTAAGGACAAAAAGCATAGGTTGTCTTTTCATGTCACCAGTATCCACTTCTGTATTACCACTGAAAACCTGGAAAAAAGAAAGGAAGGCTTTGAAGAGCACAGATGAGGGCTAGATGTTGTTTGCCACACCCGTTATCTCTGTTGGATGCTGATCTTTCACATTGGCAATGCCAAATGTCACTGTCTTAATTTCTTCTGGGCTCAGAATCTCAATCAAGGAGTGTGGTAGTGCAATGACTCATTTGATTTACTGCAGAGATACCCAGCATGCAGTAAATATGACCTAATTCAGTTTGTCAGTCCTTCCTCCTCGTAGGCTAAATTAAGTTGCACATTTTTGCATTTGTGATGGTCTGAGATCCTGCATGTGGACAGTTATTGCAATAACCTTGTAGGAAGATTGAACACAGAGGGTCATACCATGTGAACTTTGAGCAGGAGGCAAAAAAGATGAATTTATTTACTGTCCCACTGACACTGAAAGTCAAATTCTGTAACCTGGTCACAGTTGCAGTTTGTAACCATCTTTTTAGCAGAGTATTCTGAAGGTGGCATGTCAGTGTTATGCTGTTGAAAAAACAGTCTTAGAGTTTTGCTACTTTAAAGATTCATGTTCTGAAGATAAGTGCAGGATTCCTCTTTACTGCCCAGCTGATATGCCCACGTTCTGACCTGGGAGAGTTATCTTCAAGATTTGGGGATAATTTAATGCCTATATTTATTCAGACCTTTCTAACTCCACTGAAATTTGTCTGAAACAAATGAATTTGTTTGCCTTGGCTAGGGTGGAAACTGCCTGTGTCTTTCAAAGATATCTTCAATTTTCCAAAGGTAGTTAGCTCCTTTGACCTGCTGTCATTAGGTCCTGATATTTAGAGACCCAGGAAGACCATTCAAAGAGATTAGTATTCCTTTTTACTCTCTATAGATATTCCAGAAAAGCAGCTGACTAAATAATTTCTTAGGTCCTTGAACTGTGCCATATGAATTTTAACTTCCACTTAAAATAATAATAATAATCAGCAGCAGCAGCATCAGCCTGTGGTTAAGATGATCTGATTTAAAGATAAAATAAAAATTACATATAGCGTATTTGAATGGATAAGAGGAAAAAAAGTAAAATTAAAAAAAAAAAAATCAACCTGTATGGTCACTAGACTAGTGAATACAGGGACCTCCATGGGATGGTTTTCCTAGACTACAAAGAATTAAGGACAACATTTAGATTTTGCTGACTGACTTCTGGAGACCTGGGAGAAAATCAGATTCTGTTACAGCAATGAGTATTTCTCTAACAAAGGCAAAGTATAGTGAAAAAAGAAGTGCCAGCCTGTTCGTTCAATCTGGAATATTGCTTACTAGGGTCAGAAGAATTTGGATGGTTCTCTTAAAAAAAAAAAACAAAAAAACCCACAGATCCTCCCCTGTACAGTGTTCATCCACAGCCTTGTCTTGATGGGTAGGTTAATTGGCCTCTATACAGCCGAATATTATTATTTTTATTTTTTTCCTGCGAGCCTCATGATGCCAGTTTGTTTTCTCAAGGTAGTCCTGATCACCTTTGTGTTGTTAAATGAGAAGATCAGCATATAGGTAGAATGTTAAGAAGTGGGAAGGTCAACCACATAGAGCAAATTTACGTTTAGGGAATTTTCTCCCAGAGATCCCATACCTTACTTCCAGCCAAATAAGAGTTCTCTCTGATGCGTTCTAATACTTGAGTATGAGGACACCTTGAGGTGCCAGCTCTCAGCTTCCATGCTCTCAGCAGTTAAGCTAGCTCTAACCTATAGCAGTGCTGTTATGTAGATGATATGGTGTGTCGTAACGACATCAAAAAAGAACGTAACTAAATCAGTGTATTTTTGCATTCCTCTGTTTCCTCTTGTTTTATGCAGCCATCAGTCAATCCAGTTGACTGCTTAGAGGAATTGGAACGTTTGACATCTGAGGTGCTGCAGCCCCTGCTCAGCCAGCCAGCCATGCACAGCATGTGGGATTTGCTCAGGTAAAATTATTTCATTGCTTCATTTCTATACTGCGCGGTCAGGAGGGCAGGAAACACGGTGGTTCCAGGGGCTGGGAATCCACTCACAGCAAAGAAATTTTCTAATGTTGGCCTAGAATACATCAAAAAGTACAGTTATGTTTTAGATGATTTTCTCCCTTCCTACTTATTTACCTTTTAACGTATGTACCTCATGTGTGATACTGAAAGCTGGATGAATTACAGTGCAATAAGGCTCTGTCTACATCCCTTCTTTGTCCTTTCTCCCCTTGCAACACAAAGCATCTACTGCAGAGGTTCTCCAGTTCCTCCTTGCCTACTGATACTGCTGCAGTGCCTGCCTCTCTACCCCTCCATGTAGCTGTGTTTTATTTTAATTTCAAATAGATTTTATCCATTCTTGGCTTTGATTATTTTTTTAGTTTCCCTGATTTAAAAACAAGAACAAAGCAATGTCAATTTGAGTCCTTTTATCAGTGGGAGTACATGCACCATTCAAATGCTGTGTATGAACTACTTTTATAAAATAATCTAAGTTCTTGTAGAGCTCCTTGAAAGGCCCTGCAGGAGAGAAAGTGAAAGGCTGGATACCAAATTGTCCTTTCAGACATTTGGATAACATAAGTTTGGTCTCAGGCTCTGGGCACTGTTCAGTGCTGTGGATGTTCCCTCTTTCTGCTGTAGAGGGAGCCTCACTACCACCCTACAATCAGTTCTCTGGAGAGAAGTAAACTGAGAAGTTTGACTTGTATTGGGAGAAACATCCAGTTTTATGTAAGCGACACTGGAAATTTTTGATTTCAAATGGTATTTGAATGCTCACCAATCTGGCTCATGTTCCTTCATGACTGAGAGCTGAGTTCTGAAGCTTCTAACACCAAAATTTCTGATGCACAAGGCAATATTTTCGCAGTGGCAGTTTTGGATAAGAGCTGGCTTTTTGGCTTTGCCTGTCTGATAATTTTTGAAATGTCCAAAGTATGTGGGCAGCTTTATTAGCCTGGATTACATACGCATGTAGGGAAGTGTGTGTTTTTTTTAATAAAGGTCCAAAGCTTTCAAATGTTTGACACCAGAGGTGCATCATTGCATCAATATTTCTGCACATTGTGAACAACATAGCTGAAGACTAGAATCTGTGACAGCTCACTGGCATTAGTATCTATGTGACAGTCCTTACTTGATCAGCTGTTGATACTGCTTTGGTTTTTCTCCTTTCTATTTTGCTGTCATTGTGGCTTTCATTTTGCTGCAATGTGTGGCATGGTTTGGATAGTAACATTCCTACAGGATAAATTTTCAGTAGTACGAGTGTTTTTGACCTAATCTCTTTCATTCTGTGTTCACACAGGCCATGTTCTGCTCTGTGCAACCCTCTGTCCTGTTCCCCAGCACCTGAATCTGTCTTCAGCATTGTATCTTTGAGTTGTACTGGAGGCAAACTTCCTCTGAGCCTAGTTGGCTCCAAGTCACCCTTCCCTTTCCTCACTGCCCTCCTATTTCTCATCAATAGCATCACCCATATTCACAAAGGACTAATCAGCAAGGTGAGAATATACTTTTTCACTATGAGTTCTGTGTGAATGATAGCATGCTTTGGAAGGAGATCAGTATTTGTATCGTCCCACGTTATTAAAATAGAACTGGTGTGTTTTTAATGTAAAAATATCAAAGTACTTTCGAGAGAAATACTTTCATTTTCAGAACAGGCGAGTCTTTGAATTGCCATATCCACTTGATGCTGGGAAGCTGGGATTATAGAGCAGGTGCCAAATGATGATGCAGCTTAAAGGATGGAGTTATAAAGAACATTGAGAACAATTAAACAACTGTTTGGCTGAACTAAAGTGTCAGATAATGAAAGAGGGATGGTTGAAGGATGTATAACAAAGAAAAATGAGATCAAACTAAACGTAAGAGGAAATTTCTTCCTTCTTCTGATACTGAACACGGGTGTGAGCACTGTGGCAGAAGTACAGATATTTCTCAGGCCATTTCTGAAAATCTTATAGCAGCCAACAGGAATTCTTAAGGGGAAAGCAGGAGATGATAGACATCAGAGAGGACTGTTTTACTTTCCTCCGAGTGCAGACTGTATTAGTAATAGTTGTCTCCATTTCTGTTTCCTTTATAGTACAGCTCTGTGCTGAGCTTTGAAGGCCTGAAGGATTATCTGCATCAAAGCTGGCAGACTGCACCCCCCTCAGTAACTCCCGCATCTGCATGGATGCTGCGCCATGAGTATCATCTGCAGTACTTCGCTTTAGTATTGGCTAGGAAAATGGTATCCTTGCTGGCTCTCATTTCTTTCACTCCTGGAGTTGACTTCACTTTAGTTTCTCTAACTCTGGCAGCTGGTCTTTCCACATAGCTGATCTAGACTTGGTCTTCTGCTTTCTTGACTGTTCTGCCCCATGAGCAAGTAATATCTTTATAGTTACTGACGTGGGGATTTAGATCCAAAATACTTTAGATGGCAAAATTATATTTTTACCTGTCTTTGGGCTAGAGTGAGAACAACTTTTCTAGCAACACTCCTGGAAGATGTCTGTGTGAATGCTGAACAAGAATGCTGTTCTTGTGGTCCTCTTTCAGCCTCTCACTTTCCAGCGAGATCTCTTCCTCAGCTGCCTCCCCCGCCACGGTCCTTGCTGATGCCTTGTTGACAAACAGTGGTTTTATCTGTTTCTTTCCTGTGCAGGCAGGCACTTGTCCGGATTACAGCCGTCATGCCTCGCTCTATCACTGTGTTGCCATGGCATTGCTGAGCCGTCTGTTGCCGGGGAGCGAGCATCTGGCTTATGAGATCCTGCTGGATCTTGCTTTTAATCCAGAGTTTCTTCTGTAAGCTGTGCTTTTTTTTTTCTGTTTTTGTTTTCGTTAGTCTGATACATGGAAAGACTTGAAAATGATGAAAAAGCAGTTGTTGGCAATGGAACTTGGTCATGTTTTTTGACCTTCAGTAGGGCTTATTCAAATTTCAGGTGTTTGCTGGCGTATTCTTAAGTCATGGAGCCTCCTAGTCAGACCGGCAATGTGGTTGTAAATTTATCTTGGTTGTATCCATGTTGAGAAATATGACCAGTTTCTTTTGATCCCCTCAGAGGCAAGAGTCCAGTGATTTCTGGTAGAACTCATTTTCACTAAGGTCCAGCATCTACTGCACTGATGGTAGCGAGGCTAGGAAACACATGGGATCCTGACCTATTCTGAAAAACTTGTACAGTAAGGGTTAAAAGGAAGGCTTAGCAAGTTCTTACACATTTTTTTTTTTTTTCTTATTTGATTATGATGTATTTTCCACATTGTTTTAGAAATAATATGGAGCACCTCAAATGTGACACATCCTCCATCTGACCAAGATGGTAGCAGTTTATTTTGTTCCTCACAGTCAGCTGCAAAGAAATACCATACATCTCCAGCAAACTTTCCTTTAGAAAGGAAAGCTTCCCCACACCCTCACCTCCTTGCAGTTACTTGCTATATGCCATTTTGCAAAAGTTTGGCAAGTAATCTGAGACCATGATAAGTGTGTGGTCTGAGACTGTGGCACACAAGTTTGACAGCTCCTCTGCCTTAATTTCTGTTTGCCAGTCTGTGTGGTTCTTTTGACTGTGCAAAGCTACCACTATAGGAGTTGTCCTATTGACTCAAGGTGCCCTTACATGATATACAGTATTTCACTTCAGCACCCTGACATATGTTCTGGTAGGTAAGTTGTCTCCCTAGACATGGAATTGCACCCTCCTCACCAGACCACTGGCTTTGTGTGGAAGTTTTTCATTTTATTTTTATTTTGTATTTATGTTGGTAATTCCAAGTGTAGTTCTATGAATTTCCTGTAGATATCAAGATAATCCATGCGTAATGTGTTTGGGATTTTCTTGACTGATGTTTGCTTTTACTTTACAGTGAAGGGAAAACTGGAGGGCCAGAAGCAGCTGACTTTTCTGATATTTTGCATCTGGGTGCCAGTGCCAAACTGTCACAGCCTGGCTCTGCAGCAGCATCTTCTTCAAAGCCTACTCGTGGTGCCCTGCTGAGAGACTCATACCAGAATCTGCCTGCCATCCGCTCCTGCTACCTCTCTCATTTTGTTCACTTGCAGCCTGCCCTTGTGCATTCCCAAGCATCCTACCAAGGACGTAATTACCTCATCCAATCAATGCTGCTTCCTGAAGTCAGAGGGCCCATCCTGCCTTCAGACTGGCCGTTCTTTCCACTTATCAGCCTCTACAACAAAGTGACTAATGCAGAGACACGTGGGGCTGTGCTGAACTCTCTCCCACTTGATCTAGTCAACACTGTGACCTGGAACCTTCAGTGGGTCTTACTGCTGGAAACTTGGCGTCCTAAAACCCTTCAGACCATCCCTACTGCTGCCAGACTTGCACGACTTATGTGCATCTTCCTCACAGGCAGTGACCTCTTTCTAGAAGCACCAATCCACTGTTACACGGCTGCACTTCTTTCTGTGTACTGCCAGCCCAAGGCTCTGGACTCTCTGAACTTGGATGCTCCACTCCCTGGTTTGGCATCCTTCCATGATCTCTATATAAGTCTGCTGGAGCAGTTTGAAGGTGTCTCCTTTGGAGATCCACTCTTTGGAGTCTTTGTTCTTCTACCTTTGCAGAAGCGTTTCAGTGTTCATCTGCGTCTCTCTGTTTTTGGGGAGCACACAAGTATCCTGCGGGCACTGGGAGTGCCCCTCCAGCAGGTAATCACGCTTTATGGTTGTTGCCTGCACACTTCTGAGATACTGGGCTCTTGCCTGTGTTTCTCCAGCCCTGTTTTGGTCATTTTTCCAGCACTACTCAGTGTCCAGTAGAATACTCATTCTTCCTTCATTTCCTTCACTTACAAGTTCTCATTGTTCTTGAAGAAAGTCCAGTGCATGGAATGTAAAATGAAGTAGGAATGGAGAGCAGTGGGTTTTTTTGTTTGTTTTTTACTGAGATACATTACAGCAGTGTATCCTGTTGGCTTTTTTTTTTTTTTTAATGGGAGGAGGGACTTGGAGAGGGAAACAATGTTATTGATTGTAAGTCTGGAGAATAGTGTCCAGTTCCTGTAGATTGCCTTTGTTAAAGAATCCTTTCAAGAAAGATTTTGAACTTAGTTTTGGGAGCTGATAATACATATAATGTGAAAGGTGGGAGCTATGAGATTGTTCAGTCTTCAGTGGACACTGTCCCATGTCCTGCTTGGTCTAGTGGCTGAGAAGCTCCTAATTTATGACTGCTATGTATGAAGGGCTAGTCAGCACCCCATGATTTTCTTGCATGAGTTACCTTTCCCTTAACTCTTCTCTCAGCCTGGTGAGAATCTTCCTATGCAGTGCGTGGGCAAACAACATTTTTCTTCTCAGACTGTGTTTACAGTTGGCTATACTGGAGTTGTGCTTGACTGGGTCACTAGGTGAGAAAGTTTTATCTGTGAAGTGCAGGAGTGCATTTCTTTTGAATGAGCAGAGCAAAAAAGATTGAATTAATCTGGCTTTATGTTCTTTGTCACTTGCCAAATAACAGATGATGCCTGATTTAACCTAAAGTTTGCTAATACAAAGACAACTTTTGAAAAAAAAAAAAAAAAAAAAAAAAAAGTAAATTGTGAATTAGCAGTTTTTTGCCTCATGTGATTGCAATGCTTTTGTCCTGGTTGTAGTGGCCCAGCAACCAGTTTTTCTATATTGTTATGGCCAGATGAGTCTTTGTTTCTTAAGCCAAGTAAGCCAGGATTCTCTGGCCTGTTTTTGTGATAAGCTCTCTGTACTCACGGTGCTTCCAGTAGCCCTTCCCTATGTATGTTCTAGTTTCACAGGAGCAAAATCAATGTAGAGGGAGATGGTTTTTTTTCTTTTGTTTTGTCTTAAGATATGTTTAACTTACCTTAGTGAGCAGTAAAAAATTTTAGTAATATTGCCTTTGTAGCCAAACACTAAAAGTTCAGCATAGATGCTGTGTTTGCACTGAAGACTGTTGCTGAAATGTGCAGAATCAATGATTTTCTTTAGTCTTGCAAAGAAAATACTTCAAAGTGAAATACATAACATTAGACCCACAGAACTTGTGAAAACAGAGAAGGTGGCAGTTTGGATTTTGGGAGAATGGAGAAGTGAACAAAACTAAGTTGTAATTAAAAGTGATTCTAACCTATTTTTCCAAGTCAGACAAGTGAAGTCAGAAAACGTTGGAAGTTTAATTTAACAGCAGCATTAACTCTGGCATATCTATCTGCTTTCCTATTCTTGCTAAATGCATAGGCTGTTGTAAGTCTCTCTGATACATTAGCAGAAGATATAGTGCTGCTGAAAGCACTTTGTCTTTTCACTTTGAAACACCTTTTCCTACCTGTGCCAAAAAGCAAGTACCATCACTTGTCTGCTAAAACACTTATCTGTAAGGCTGAAAAGATCTTGAGGACGCTTTGTCAAAGGCATGTCACATCAGTCAGCCTGGGCAGTAATGGTGCTGCTCCAAATGGGAATTGTGCCAATGAAATGTATTGTGTTACATGGCAGCATGTGCCTTAACAGCTGGGGAATTCCTCACTGCTTAGATTCTTTCACAGAAGGTAACGTTGCCTTTTGGGTGGGTTTCTTGCAGTTTCCTGTGCCTCTCGAGCGATACACTTCCCCTCCTGAGGATAACTTGAACCTCCTGCGACATTACTTCCGAACACTGGTCACAGGTGCACTGCGCAGCACCTGGTGCCCTGTTCTTTATGTGGTGGCCGTGGCTCATGTGAACAGCTTTATTTTCTCCCAAGACAGCACAACTCAGGTAGGTAAGGAATATCAGTGCTTCAGGGCTGGGAGCTTTGGATTTTGCACCTGGTATTCCACAGCATCCATTGTGGTTTGTTGATGGATCACCCGCCTTGGACTTGAAAACAAAGATTATAAGTATGGGGAGAGGACTGTGCAGTTGTCTGAGATCTGAAATTTGGAATCCACACAGGAGACAGTAGACAGCCACTGTTGTTTGTAATATCCTGAGAAGCTTGCACTAATCATAGCCAATCCTACAGAAACAGAATCTAAGCATCTATGGGTGAATGTACAAAAGGAAAGAATGAAGCACGTGTAATGAAATTGCTGACCACGCAGAGAGGGCTTGTAATAGTCTTAGCCTCTGCCAGGGACAGTCTAAAGGTATGGAGCGTTTTTTCCTTTTACCTTCTTTGAATAACTCACTGCCTGAGTTAACCAAGCAGGAGCCCTACTGTAGTCTCAGATCTCCAGCACTGGTTCCTCCTGCTAACTCTTTTCTCCCCTGATCTACAATTCTACTGGATTGTTGAGATGTCAACACGGGAAGGAGGAGTGGGAAGGACCCAAGAGTTTGCCACCTTAACGTTTTTTTGATAGAACAAGCTGCTCTTTGGACCATCATCTTAATAAGTATAGCATTGTTCTAGAGTGCTGCAAGGCCTGTGGGCAGAGATGGCATTGTGCTATATTAATTGAAGTTTATGCTTTGTTCTTAGGAGGCTGATGCTGCTCGGAAAAGCATGCTGCGAAAGACTTGGCTCTTGGTGGATGAGGTAAGATCTGTAAGGATCAATGTGTACCATTGAGGTTTTTCAGGGATGGTACTTCACAGATCTGCATTTTGGCTTTTGAAATTGTTGTTTATCTACATTGCTAACTTGAGAATGAGGAGATTGGCAGCAGGATTTCAACATGCAGTATCTACCAGTAGTGTTATCTAGTTCTTGTTACAATTAAACTCAACACAATGAGCCCTCTGGAACATAGATTAATGATTCTGCGATTCTATGAATTTCTTCTACTCTATTTCCATGCTTCTTGCCTGAGCAGTTTTTTTTTCTGCGTAGTGTTAGATCCTACAGGGCTGGTTCTAGCACAGCTATGAACAGGCAGCCAGCACAGACCTCCCTTAACATTTAGTTGGATTCTTCCCCCACAGAAGAACAAAACAGATATTAAGTTTCTACTTTTCACCTTTCCATCCTGCCTTACCATACCAGATCTTGCTGAAGTTTATCATTTGTGTAACAGAGCTATGTAATTTTGTTTAGTATTTCAGTCCATTGTTAGAAGTTCCCACTCAAAACCCCATTTGGGCTTCTTGCAAGGGACTATTGAGAGAGATTGTTGAGGAAAGAGTTCAGAAGAGGAAAACTCATGCAAATCAAAAGACTTTCTTTGAAGAAACTGATTTTTTTTTTTTTTTTTACAGCTCTTCTGTTGAAAGCATTGCAATTAAATATGTTGGATGTGGTAGTTGTATTGTCTGTCATGTTTACTTTGTTATGTCAGAAGTAGGAGAAAAGATTAGATTTGTACTTTTAAGACACGTCTAATGGCTGCTGTTTCTCTCCTCAGACCTTGAAAAAGCACCTTCTCTACTACAGACTGCTGAATGCAGAGAGTCCTTTGGGCTTTGATCTTTATGAGCAACTCCCTCCTATACGACTGAAGTACCTGCAGATGGTGATGCAAAAAGACAATAAGGGGAATGCACCAGTGCTTGTCTCATAGCTAAACACCTATAGAAGAGGACAGCTAGGGGGAAGAGCAGAAGAAAATTATGCTTCACTGATGAGAATATACACATTTCAGATTGTTTAAGTGTCTTTCTTTGACACTCGTGGAATCTCTGCAAAGTGAAACACTGATAGAGTGCTCCCAGCCCTGCTGCACAGCACAGATCTTCTCAAGATATGGCAATATGTGTCTGTGGTCTCTTTCTTATGAATGCTAGAGCATTTTCCAGAATACTCTTTCAGATTGTTCTGCTTCATCCTGGAGGAGGTGAAAATGTGTCTGAGAGACACTGGACTGATGAATAAACAAAAAGAACTGGAAAAACAAACAACGTTTCATTGATTCCAACAGGGGATTGTGAATTCTTATGATGATGTCTGTCTTCCTCTTGCTTTTTTGTGTCTTGGATTTTGAGTGGTTCCTTTCCCCTGCAGCTCCCAGCAAATAGAGTGACAACATGGGAGGAAAAAACTAATTTCTGTGGGGGCTTTGTTTGTTTGTTTGTTTTTTATAATTTTGATTCTCCAAGATATTTCTTGAGGATTGTATTCTGTGCACATTATCAGTCAGATTTTATTGTGTCATACCTTTAACAAACAACAGATCCTGATGCAGTGGTGTAAACACTGGTCATTCTACCTTGGTTGTCTTTTGGATAGCCTCAAAACTGCTTTCTTTTCTCCCTTATTTAGTTACACATATAACAAGATCTGAAATAATTTTGTTGTAGGCAGAATATTAATCACTCCCTATTAGAGGAAAAACAATCTGATTGTTTAACTAAAAGGTTCATTGTTTCCCTTCTGAGGAAAGGGGAATGTAATTTAAATTCTGAAGCAGAGATCCTAAGTTTACATCTTTTTTTTTCTTTCTTAAAAAAAGCTTATTTGATCCCAATTTTACATGCAAACTCAGTACTGCAGCCTCAAACACGAGGACTACAAATGTAGTGCCCTAAAAGACTAATCACACGTGCCACGTCAAGCCCAGAATTTACTTTTTAAGTGTAATCTCAGTGAGGTGGATGTTTCACTTGCATCCAGTCGTTCTTGTAGAACTACAGTCAGTCTGCCAGGCTTTTGTTTGGAGAACTTCTATGAACAAAGCTTGTTATTTCTTTCCTATTGTTATGCATAAAGTCCTCTGGGAGGTGCATAGAGATGCCTATCCTGAAGACTTCAGATTCTCTCAGACTTATCAGACAATTTTCTAATTCTACCAGTACCCCTTAGGTTAGAAGAAAGCCTTTTTTCCTTCACCTTTTTTGTCCCCTTATTTCAGATAGGACATGGGTGTAACTGATGTGTGATTTTAATTTTTTTTTTTCATTATTGCTGTTTTTCCTATTGCAATTTTTGGTCTGCTGAGGTTAATAGCACATAATGTAATAAAGTACCAAGTAGTCAACTGTGACTTTTATTGTTAAATTGTTTAAAAAATATTTTATGTGATTAAAAGTTCAATTGAAGGCATGCAAGTTTTCATTTTAGATGGTTTAAGTCCAAGCAGCTGTCTTTGGAGAGTAATTGCATAGTAAAATGTAAGGACTTCTAGATGCCCACTTAAGAACTGCCATCAGCAAGGAATTCATCTTCTGCTCTTCTGATGTCCAGTTTATAAAAACCTCTTCCTGTCCTTTGTGTGATGTGAAGTTGAGTTTTGAAATCTATATGAATGTAAATGAACATTTTGATAGTTCTGTAGTTTTTGTGTAACAGTGAGAATGCTCTACTCTTTATTTAAACCTCTTTAGTTTCATAGCTCTGTCTGCAGTTCATCAATACATTCAGAGTGCCACATGCTGTGAGGTGGGGTGAGTCACTACCTGCCAAATGTGTGTACATGGTGCAAGGGAAAGCAGTGAAAAAAAACTTGTGTCTCAGTGGGAAAGCAGTAAAAAAAAAAAAAATTGTTCACAGATAATATTTGGAGATAAAGGGAAGAGGTGTAATAAATCTATTCTGTGTACTCTGAGAAGGAAGGGATCAGGTTTTGTAAAGTCCTCTCGTTCCCAAATGCTCCTCAAGCCATCAGTGTGTGCCCACAAAATACTTCCATCTTCTGACAGGATTCTGTAGCAGGCATCAGAAATATAAGGAAGAGATCCCAAACAGTTCTGTTGTCCTGCTTATTTGCAGAACATTTTAAGCATGTCGCGCGTTAGCCATAAGACTTCAAAACTTTGGCAATGACTGAGACAGTACAGCAGCTCTAAGCTTGAAATTTGTAAGGCTTTTGGGAGCCTTCTTCCAGATTCCTCTGCAGAACACTAGAGGGCATTGCTTTCTCTAGTTTAAATACAGACTTTCACACATGCAGCAAAATTGGTACTAAAACAAAAATCCCTGAAACTTAGTTTGAGATTCCTGCATTTTTGAGTACACTGTGGGAGAAAATGTGGAGAATTCAGTGAACTTTCACGTGAGGTATTGCTAAGAATTCCCTCTGGAAGAAACAGTTGATTTGCGTGAGCCACAGTGCAAGTGGTTTGAATTCCCTGGACTGGGGTCTGGCTTTGATGGCATGGCCTGCTTCTGCTGAGCAGCTCCCAGAGAAACAGGCAGCTCAGCAGCAGTGCTCCACGGGTGGGAAGGACTGAGCCGTGTAGGAGAGAGCTGGGCAAGAAATCAAAACCCCAGTGTAAGAAGCAGTGTTTGGGATATTTAAGACAGTAACGTAACCATGAAGCATTGTATGTTGCATCGTAGTTGCATTCTACTGTATTTATTGACCACTTCCTTTTGGCTGTTGAATGTAATAATCCATTTATTTATAATGTAATAATCCATTTTCTGCCTGGCTACCTACTATTAGGCAAATTCTGAAAATCTTTTGCTCTTGAAGCTCTGGAGATACGGAGTCAACTGTAAGTTTTGGGTGTACAAATACACTGCAGGTCACACATACATCTCTTACTGGGTCAGACAGCAGAAACACAGCTTTTGCTCCTTTGCAGTTCTATGGTGTTCTCTTAAAGATCTCTGCGACAGGCTTGTGCCTCCAGCTCAACTGAATTTGGGGCAAAATATGTTTTCTTCTCGTTTTTGAAAGTTCATCCATTCCCTCCATTTACAGAGGAGGCCCTCTGATATTCCTTGTATACATTACTTAGGGGTAATTTACTGGCCTTTGCCCTTGTTTTCAGAAACTTTGACCAGAGGACCCCCTGTAGAGACATCCCCTCTGTGCTCCCTGCCTCTGAGCGGTCGCTGTGGTGCACAGGCTGCTAATCAACAAGGGTCATTTTAAACCAAGCAACACCTGCTTTGCCTTTGGATCAAGTTAATTTTTTGTCGAGGCACAGTCAGCAGATACTGGCCACCACCTGGCTCTGGAGACCACCTGGGAGCCCTGCTGACCCCCCACACCCACGTGCAGCTCCTGGTGCAACAGCCAGTGCAGAGCTGAGGGTGCTGAGTGGAACTTTCCAGAACGCCCTGAGTGGTGCCAGCTGCCCCCAGGGCGGCCCCACACAAAGGGGAGGCAGCTGCGGCGGGGCAGGGAAGCAGGGGCACCTGAGCCCTCAGTGAGCTGTGGAGGGATCAGCAGCAGAAGCAGGAGGAAAGCGCTGTGCTTCTTCCCTTTTTTTTCTACTTCTTGGTGTGTGGAGTAGCTGGTGGAACTGCGGACGCCGTGAGCTAGGTTAGTAGCGAGCTACGTGTTTTGTGTGGTGGGCTCTGGGCTGCTGTGTGCCTGGCAGGCAAGGAGGAGGGCACCTGTGCCTTCTCTTTGGGGTTGTGGAGGATTTTGTGCTGCTGCGGTGATGGTTGTGTTTTTGGACTGTGCTGGATGTCACCTCATGCTTACCCCATAGGATGAAGAGAGTTACATAAGCTTCCCAGCACAGTGCTCGCCCTCATGTCAGCGAGGCCCTGCTTTGGGGTGGTTTGCAGGGCTCTGGATGCACAGAGGGGTTCTAGCAGGTCTGGGGGCCCTCTGCTAGGAACAGCCTGGTCCTAGCAGCCAGAGGACCCAGCAAGGCAGAGGAACATGGATGGTGGCTCAGTTTTTGGTTTTGTTCTCCCTGGGCTTCTTGCCGAGCTGAGGTGGTGGTTCTTTCCTCTCTCCTACATCCCTCTCTTTCTGTACTCCTCTCTTGAGCTTCCTAGCTGTCTTTTATCAGGATTTCTTTCCCTTCTGGTCTTCATCTTTCTGTTTTTAATTGCCCTCATTCTTACTGCAGCTTGTACCTGCTCTCATCTTTTCTTGCTCCCGTGGCTGTGTGCAGAAGCACTCAGTAGCACAACAGTTTAACTGGAGCACAAAGGTGCTGCTACTGAGTTCCAGGTGGTAGCTCAGTGGTTTCTTGTCTGAAGATCTTGGCAGATACCAATAAACAATGCTTGTGATGTGCCTGCATGGAAGTCTTAGGAGAAAAAGAGCTATAACTTTAAGGTTTAGATTGACTACTGCGTAAGTGGTGTAGGCACTGCACCATTTGGGTCTGTTCTGTCAGAGATGTGATGACACTTCAGTAATTAATCTGTTATGTTTGTCTGTTAAAGGGAAAACTGAAGCTTGTGAATTAAGTGACTTTCCTATTTTTGCTTCTACAGTCAACTTTCACTGCACAAAATCAATGAGCATATCTCTGAAAACAATGGTTTAGACTTCTTTTAGTGCAGATGGGCTTTTGCTAGCAGTTTCCCTCACTGTGTGCATTCAGCATGGTTTTTGATCTTTTTGGAGTACCAGGGCATACAGCCGTAGGATTCTTAGAGTTGGAAGGGACCTTCAGAGGTCATCTTGTCCAAACTCCTCTGCAATGAACAGGCATGTGAGGAGTTCTCAATTACCTCCAGGTGTGTGTTGCTGGTAGTGAATTGTAGTTTCAGGCAGGGTTGATCTGTGTCACACTGTGAAGATGCTATGACAGCCATGCTAATGTGCTGTGCAGCAACTGTCAAGTTATTTGTTAGCATTCTTCACAGGAAATCAGCTTGCTGCTCCTGGCATCAATATTTCTTTCGTATAGATTATAAAAATTAAATATAGAGCAATACAAAAGTTTCTCTGTTAAAGTATCATGCATCTCTTGTCTGACATGCATGTCAGCTCACTCACAAAATCTTACTGCACGCCACAGATGGCAGCTCATTTTTGTTCCTCTTGGTTCTGTCTCCTCTAAGATTGATCAAGTTTGGATGAAATATATTTGGGCAGAAGCTGCCACTGCTTTCCCACTGTCTGTCCACTGATAAAAGAAGTGGGAGGAGCATAGGAATGTTAAGTGAACTTTCTAGTGTGATTCTGCCTTTTTTTCTTTTTTGGTACTATTACATGTTATTTCTGGAGGAAAGTGTGGGCTTGCTGACCATTCTTTTTTACCATGAGCTCTCATCAGCAAGTTTTACTTTTTATAGTCATCTCTGAAGCTCACATTTCAGTGGTGGATTATTACTTATTTTTGTTAAAGGACAATTTGCAGGCTAGAAGTGGGATTCAGCACCTGGATATCTCTATTCAGCAGCACTTGTAGACAGCTACTCCGGCTCTTCACCAATCAAGTGGTTTTGCTGTCAGTGTACACTGGTGCCATAACAACCCAGTACTGTACTGTTGGAAAAAGTAGTGGGTGCACCCATGTGAGTTTTGCAGAACTGCTCTAGAGCTAGTGTGTAATCATCAGTATTCTCGTGGGGGCAACAAACTGATTGCCTGCCCACCAGTTCTTTCTGCTACTAAGTAACTCTAGAGGTTAAGAAACAACTCTTAATATTGTAACTTACCTTCTCCTTTGAATCCGCGGTCTTTGCTTACTGGTTTCTGTAAATATTTATTTTGGTCCTTCTTATAGTTCACTGCAGATGGAAGAAAGAATAAAGCCTGTAGCTAGCATGGAGTTCTTGGCCTCTGTTTAAACAGAAAAAGCAATTTTATAGCCATTTTAAACCCTTGCCAGGAACATGCGGTTTCTGGTCCAAATTAGAGAGAAAATACGATGTGCTCTTGAAAAAAACAATAGACTGAGGTTAGGGTAATCTCACATGGTGTAGGAGATCCCTGTGAGAGCACCCCCAACTATTGGGCTGACAGTTGCTCTGATGCAGAATGTTTTCCCAGTTTGCTGATGTTTCCACCTTGTTCTCATGCTACACTGAACTTTGATGGTGTCACATTGTACCTAAAATCAAATTCTTACTTAACGGTTCATCCTTACCAAATGTTTATGAAGAATGAATTAGTATAGGATCAAGGTTCTTAGAGTACGATAAATGTAGTTATTGGTTTAGCTCAATCTTTGTAATTTAGGTAACCACATATTACTGCATCAAATTGTACAAAATCAGTAACTGGAAAATATTCCCATTCTCCTTACTGCATACTGTAAGCTAAACATTGCTGGTGCCTTTCTGACTCATCGGCTTTGCCACCTGTGTGAGAGGAGCAAGAATGAGTGAGTGTGAGGGAGTCCTGTTTGGGGATGGGGGTGTAATCTGGCTGCAGAGGGGAAAGACTTACTGGAAAGTTGCATGCATTAAGAAGGAAGTCATGTGCTTTTATCCTCTGTTCAGCAATGGCACAAACTTCACAATGAGAAACTGCTTCAGCCTGGTAATGCCAAGGGATCATGGGAGGTAAGTGCTCTAAGTAACCATAATTGAGCACTTCTTTGATAACAAGCTTTCCTCTTCCTCTAACTGCAAAATGATAGCATACTTCTCTTGGCAGACAGTTCTGGATGGAGAGCTCATTTCAAAGGCAGCCTTTGCTGTTAATACCCAGAGGCACACTCTAGCCCAGGCATTCCTTTTTGTGTGTGCAGGCATGCTTCTGTTAAGACTTTGACTATTTCAAAGCTTAATTCTTGTGACAGATGTGATTGTCCTCTTACACTTTTATGAAAGTAAAGATCCCTTGCCATTTTGCTACATCTGTATTCCATGTCTTCTGCAGATCAAGCTGTGTGTGCCTTCAGGATTTTATTGCTGCTATATTCTTCTAAGGGATGATCTGTCCACTGCACTGGGAAACTAAGCATTCACTACATGGCCCAGTTGAAGCTTCCGTTATTTGCTTTTTCCACTCCTGTGGATCTCCATATTTTATGAACTCCAGGGAGTTTTGAGGCCCTCAGTAATGCTATTTGTAAAGAAGTTTTGGAATTAATGTATGCTTCTGAGGCATCCTGGGTGTTAGCTGGTGTGCCTGGGATGAACCTGTGTGTTTCCCTTAATTTCTATCAAAAAATTGTGCTCTGATGATTGAAAATTTACTTGCCAAGACCACCTGCTGACCATCTGTTTGGCTTTGTTATCTCGAGCTATCCTGAACTTGTCCCCATCTCCCTGGATGCTGTTGTATGCAATTATTCAATAGCAAAGGTGTAAGTGTTTTACTCTACTTCATTTCTAATTTATCTGTTGGCACCTAGTATTTGGGAATCTTTATTTTCTGTCCACTTTGAGGTACATGGATTTAATGAAAATGGAACCATGCTGAAGTCCACAATGAATCTCTCACCTGTTGCACTGTGTGCTTCCATGTTCCTTAGAAACATTAGTGTTCATAACCTTGTTGTAGGGGCAGCAGGCAGTGTGCACACGTGGATTGCTTCACCTAATGCTGAGGTAGGGAGGACTCAGTCATGTATTACAGCACACAGAAACGCTATGTGGTATTTTAGCCTGGAGAGCAGGGTACTGTATTTAGATGAATCTGTAAGATTGATTGAGGTAGTTATCTAAATTGGTTTGTTTCCAGACCAGTGGGATTAACAGCCCTCTTTTTGCAAAAAGTGTTATGAGATCTTTAATGATCACACAGGGTCAAGACCCCCGTTTTATGTCTCATCTGAAAGATCATGAACTTATAACTGCTGATCTATCACTGTCTTATCTGACTATCTAGTCTAGAGACTACTTTATTTTAGACAAGATTTGTGCTGCTGGAAGCCTAAATGCCATCAAAGCTTTTAGTCCTGCCATGTTCTTTGCCTGAGGAAGTTTTAAACGGGTTTTTATTCTGATGTATTTTTGATTCGTTTTTCCCTTTTCATGGCAGGCCAAAGTGAGACTGCAAAGAATATTTTCCAGTCTGTACCTCTGTCATTTACTGCTACACAGAGGACTGCTTACTGAGCCAAGCCTGAAAATGACTGATTCCTGGGCTGTTCAGGAGGGTGTCTGCTTCCCAGGGCTTTTTCTGAGGTGGCTCATCTCAGTCTATGTGCCCACCTCTCACAAAAGCCCCTGTTTGCTTCTTACAGTAAAACTGTGTCCATAGCAAACTGAAGAAAGCGGCAGCTGTGTGTGACACACCACACTGCTTTCAGGCGTTTCAGAAATAACTGTTTCATGTGTGCATGCATGTGCCTGTACAAAACATTCTAGGAAACTTAAAAGCAAGTTCTTTTTGGTAGCCTAGCTCTTCTCTGATGAGGTATGCCGGGAAATTAGAGGAGCTGCCCCTCCTAACTATTCTTAGTGTATTGCATAGGTATGGAGTATGGACCCAGTTCACAACTTCACCATTTTTAAGGTGTGGGCATCAGATTTCTATTCTCTCAATGCATTAATATATGGCCACATTATTTACTTGCTACCCATAAACACCCATGAATAATAACAGCACAAAAACATACAGTCACGTGGTCCCTGTGAAGGGTCTGTTTGGCCCACAGCAAGGAAATGCATCTCTGC